AATTTTTCAATTTTCGAAAAACCGACCAATTATGCTCAAGGAAGAAATAAATTTGTCTTAGTAAATATTTGAAGCCATTTTCAGCACATTAAGTAATATAAAAAAGTGTGGCCTTTCACCGCAGGTTGTGTTCTTCTGGTTAAAGCAGTGCTTTCCGAGTTTAAAGGCGGAAAACTTTTCGAAAAGGGTTAGGTCAAATAAAGAACAATAGGCTTTCGACAAATGACGCGGTGGTCTAGTGGTTAAGACCGTGATCTCTGAATCCCGGGACAAGAGTTCAAGTCCTGGCAATGCAAAAAAAATAGCCTTGAAAATTTCGGCATGACTTGTAAGCTTGAAAAAGTTAAGACTCTCAGCCTTTCAGGAAGGCTGTAAATTTGAAAGAAATTGGAAGTAAAAAAAAATTGAGAAACATTTGAACAATTTTCGCTTCATAAAAGTGCGTGGAAATTGACAAAAAAAACGCAAGTCAAAAATATTTAAAAACATGTGTCTCTTGAAAAGACTCAAAATTAGAAAATGTCCGACCCAAAACTTTAAAAAAAGTTTAAAAACTTCCCGCCTTTAATGCTAATGTTTACTTACCTTAATTTTTTTCACGAAAATTTGACAGGGTGATTTTCTCGAGACTGAAAAAATTTACTTTTTTTCACTTTTTTGAAATTCTCTTAGATTTTTTTTTTTCACGAAGAAGTATTTTGTCTTGGGCTACCTGTGTTGGTCTTGACACAGGTAGCCCAAGACCAACACAGGTAGCCCAAGACAAAATACTTCTTCGTGAAAAAAAAATAATCTAAGAGAATTTAAAAAAAGTGAAAAAAAGTAAATTTTTTCAGTCTCGAGAAAATCACCCTGTCAAATTTTCGTGAAAAAAAAATTATTCAGGTAAGTAAACATTAGCATTAAAGACGGGAAATTTTTAGACTTTTTTAAAGTTTTAGTCGGACATTTTCTAATTTTGAGTCTTTTCAAGGGACAAATGTTTTTAAATATTTTTTGACTTGCGTTTTTTTGTCAATTTTCACGTACTTTTATGAAGCGATAATTGTTCAAATGTTTCTCATTTTTTTTTACTTCCAATTTCTTTCAAATTTACAGCCTTCCTGAAAGCTGAGAGTCTTAGCTTTTTCAAGCTTACAAATCATACCGAAATTTTCAAGGCTAATTTTTTTGCATTGCCAGGACTTGAACCCTTGTCCCGGGATTGAGAGATCACGGTCTTAACCACTAGACCACCGCGTCATTTGTCGAAAGCCTATTGTTCTTTATTTGACCTAACCCTTTTCGAAAAGTTTTCCGCCTTTAAACTCGGAGAGCACGTCAATTTTCGCCAAAATGCTTAGGGTACCTTTTGGCCCTCTACGATTTTGCCTATTTTTATGAATTTTTCAATTTTCGAAAAACCGACCAATTATGCTCAAGGAAGAAATAAATTTGTTAAGGTAAATATTTGAAGCCATTTTGGGCACATTAAGACATTTTTGAATATTTTCGAAAATCGTCAATTTTGGCTGAAATGGTAAGTGTACCTTTGGCCCTTTACCATTTCGGCCTATTTTGATGAATTTTTCAATTTTCGAAAAACTGTCCAAATATGCTTAAGAACGAAATAAATTTGTCTTAATAAATATTTGAAGTCATTTTCAGCATATTAAGACGTTTTTGAAAATTTTTGAAAATCGTCAATTTCGAGCAAAATGCTAAAGCTAACTTTTGGCCCTTAATTTGATCAATTTTTCAATTTTCGAAAAACCCACCAAATATGCACAAAAACGAAATAAATTTGTCTTAGTAAATATTTGAAGCCATTTTCAGCACATTAAGACATTTTTGAATATTTTCGAAAATCGTCAATTTTGGCCGAAATTAGTACCTTTGGCCCTTTACCATTTCGGCCTATTTTGATGAATTTTTCAATTTTCGAAAAATTGTCCAAATATGCTTAAGAACGAAATAAATTTGTCTTAGTAAATATTTGAAGTCATTTTCAGCATATTAAGACGTTTTTGAAAATTTTTGAAAATCGTCAATTTCGAGCAAAATGCTAAAGCTAACTTTTGGCCCTTAATTTGATCAATTTTTCAATTTTCGAAAAACCTACCAAATATGCACAAGAACGAAATAAATTTTTCTTAGTAAATATTTGAAGCCATTTTCAGCACATTAGACTTTTTAATATTTTCGAAAATCGTCAATTTTGGCCGAAATGGTTAGTACCTTTGGCCTTTACCATTTCGGCCTATTTTGATGATTTTTCAATTTTCGAAAAACTGTCCAAATATGCTTAAGAACGAAATAAATTTGTCTTAGTAAATATTTGAAGTCATTTTCAGCATATTAAGACGTTTTTGAAAATTTTGAAAATCGTCAATTTCGAGCAAAAAATCGCTAACTTTTGGCCCTTAATTTGATCAATTTTTCAATTTTGGAAAAACCTACCAAATATGCACAAGAACGAAATAAATTTGTCTTAGTAAATATTTTAAGTCATTTTCAGCATATTAAGACATTTTTGAAAATATTCGAAAATCGTCAATTTTTAACAAAATGCTAGTTTTGGAATCCTTCCCCTTCATGATTTTCGCGATTTTAATAAATTTTTTGATATTCGAAAAAACTACCAAATGTGCTCAAGAACATCAGCATATTTAGATATTTTTTAAAATTTTCGAAAATCGTCAATTTTGGCCAATATAGTAAGGGTACCCTTTCGCCCTTTACGATTTTCATCGATTTTAGTAAATTTTTCAATTTTTGAAAAACCTCCCAATACCAGCGCAATCTGTCTATGCCTACTCATTAGTTCAGCTCTATGCTAATATTTGGGTGTTCATTAAAGTATTAAGAAAACCAATTTCTGAACTGAAGAAATAAATCTTGATTACAGCTTCAAATTGGCACAGCGGGTTTAAATCCATCAAGTTGCCTACACCACAATTAATAATATACCAGTAGATTGTAGCAGTTCCAGAATTGTTTCTAATTTAATTGTAATCTCAACCTGCGATTTCGAAAAAGTTTTATTCGGGGCGGTGCATAATTATATATTATTCGCCTCATGGCCGGTATGAACATGAGCATATGGGAATTTTTACCTTGGGCTTCTAGAAACGGTCATGCGTGAAAATAACAATCAAACTATCAAGAGTTTAAATAATTGAACAGTTAACAAACTGTAAGTCGAATATTGAATGACTCGTTATCACGTGTATGACGTCATATAAATAATGAATATTGAAACATACTTCGTTTCCATAAGGTTCATTGAACTGAGTCACGCTGAAATAGTTTAAAATAATTTTTGATTGCTTCAATACCCTAACTATAAGATTAGAAAATCTGACCGCTAAGAAGAGAACCGCAGCACATGAACAAAAGCCGTTTTATCTCTTGCCAAAATATGTTTATAGTTTGTCAGGACTGGAAAAAATGACGATCTAACCGGCAAAAATCAAGATAGATTGATTGACGTATATGTTGCGCATTGTTTCACCCAGCTTGGGCAGTGCTGGTCTCCAAAGCAAAACATTTGTCAGATTTGCAAGAATTCGAGTGTGTTCGCGACATAAGCTATACTCAGATTCATTGATCTGCCTAAAATACAAGGCTTCTTCTCTAAACTGATCTGACCGATCCAATGATGATAAACCCTCATTTAGCCTCAAGATAAGAGCCTCATTAGGAGCACTTGCACACAGATATAGACAAAATGTTCAAATATTGTACTCACTAGATAAAATACTTGCTAAAGTCAGTCACAGTATAATTCTGAATTTAGTTTCTAATATCATACGTGCAATATACATCCCTGAATTAGCAGAAAATGCTTGTTGGTTCGTCAAGATTTCATAAGGTTGATCATATGCGATATTACACTCAACTTAAAAACCTCAAACCGGTGTTCCAGAAGCGATAATTTTCACACATTTTGTTTTTTTTGTGCCATCTCGCTCACGCACCTGCAACCAGCTGGAACAAATTGCTTAAAGGCAAAGACAAAAGAAGAAATTCGTTTCGTGCGAAAAATTTCGGATGAACCATTATCTGTTTTCGAATACAACAATAGTGAATAAACTTTACTGCTGCCGAAACAGAAAAACTTTCTGACATTATTATTTACCCTGCGTAACAGCTAATAGTTGTATAATTGCAATGAAACATAAATAAATACAATTGAAACGCTAAACCTTAAAATACAATGTTAATGATTAAAATCAATAAAAAACGTTTCTTATATAATAATATAGCAAATTATTTTTAAATAATCAACCGAAGCTATTGTTACAGATATATTATATATATTATATTATTTATATAAACATGCATGTTGAAAAATTCCGTGACCGTACTGATATATTACGTACTTATCTTATATTATACCTCATCTTATATGACGTACACCATTTGCGTATGAAACGTGAACTATTTCACGGTTTTGTCATGTTTCAAACATAATAGATTTTTGCGAAAATGGACAACTTCTAAATTTGAAGTTATATGCATGGTCAAAATCCGTAATGGCGTTTAAAACGTAAACGACCGCCTGAGATAATTCATGCTTTGTAGGCCTATACTTGAACGCAAATGTATAGACAGTATAAGAATATATATATATATATATATATATATATATATATATATATATATACAGTATAATTAAATATAATTAAATATAATTATCTGACTAAGTCATGTCGGTTCGATATATATGCTCTTAAAACCTTCTTTTACGATAAACGTAGCACAATTAAAGTGTCTCCTGCCGTAGTAAATTATACACAATTACTGATACCATTTAAAACTCATACGAAATTATATAGCTCGTCAATTGAATCGTCGCTTAATTAGTTTCTGTTCATTTTTTTAATGTAAATATGTTTGAAAAAAATCATCGGCGGCAATATTTCAAAATCAGTTCAAGAATTTGTACGCCTTCGTTTTACCTCATAACTTATTAAAAGAACTTCTAGATGTCTATCAGCGTCATTGCATGTGGGTAGATTAACGGAACGACGGATGGAAAACTAATGACAAAGAAAACTCTTAACTTGGGATTTGATTGCGGTTCAATTATTTGGCTACATATATGACCATCTGTTGAAGTCAGCATGATTTACTGGGCTATATAAACAGGTCAAGTGCATGATACGTTCATTGTCACTTGCTGTATCTATATTCGTTTTGAGAAGATAAAAAGGTGAGCGGCATTCTCAAATATTTTGCAGTTAATTAGTTTAGTTTTCTGTTTTTAAAAATCATGATACAATTTTTTAAAACATATTTTTCAAGATTTCTGGAACAATATAAGTCTTTATAGCTACTTAAAAATCTAGGCTGAATGCATAAAAGAACATGCAATCATTATGTCAAGTTTATTGCTTATAATTGTGCTCATATAAAGACGATGAAACGTTTGTCAGTATATGCATGGTGCATGCATATGTTCCTACCAATAATAGTTTCGATCTTTCCAGTAAGTCTAATTGTGGCTACTTAGTGGTTTATAAGCTGATTTATTCGTTCGTACACTATAGAGTATAGTGCTTTATATATATTGTCGTACAAATTCGGATTTCCCGCGAACGAAAATTCATTGATCTATATAACTTCAATTTTTCTAGTACAATATGAAGGGTGTTCTGTTTTTATTCGTTGTCATCATTGCGTCAATTTCTGTGCAAGCCGCCCCAAGAACTAATTTGCTGTATAAGTTTTGTCCATTAAAGCTTTGTGATGGTAAGGAACGTCTTTGTATGACACTGAATAGTGCATGTAACCCTGGAATCCCATGCGTTCCCTATGACAGTTGAATTTCAGAAAAAGCTCTGACAAATAATTATTGAAAAGCCAGGATACTAAATATGCATGATCATTATTTTGAAATATTGAAGCTATATATATATACACGCAATATATAGTACACCTGCCTGCATGATCGCAACTTTGCTGTATTGAGTATACTTGATTTCATGGCGCATCATGCGAAAGACAACTTATTTTTCTTCCTTTTGGCAGCCAACGCATGCGTGCATGACTCAAAATATTTCTCTCTCTTCAAGATACTCTCAGAGCTTTGCGGTTATGACCAATATTAGGGTGGAATTAAAGAAGTTCTCTTTTAATAATTTATTCATGCACAATTTCATGAATTCAGCCTTTTAGTTTCGCCCTGCACTTCGCAAAGAATTAAATTCTTCAAGCGCACGATAGTAAAGATGTGTTAATAAATCTTTTCATTTTAGTGAATAACAACTGTTTTCTAAGTTGTGAGGAATGCAATGCTGCTCCAAAACTTTGTCTTGATCGTTACGTTCCTTCCTGTCGAAAATGCGAAAGTCATAACTTCCCGTTGGTCAGATATTAATCCTGATAAGACGCCGAAGAAGGGATATAGTGGCATAATTTATTTAACATGAATAGCGTCGGTGAAAAATGTATCTCTTCCGTATATAGTAAAAACCAATGTTATATTAATTAAATACGTAAAATTTCTTTTGTAGCTGTTATCAATGTTACCAATGTTAAATTAAATGTGTTTGTTCAAAATACAGTATTGTGTATACCTGACTTACAAGGCTCATTTTGAATAAGGGGAACTATATAGTGGACATGCAGTTATGCATTACGCTCTCTGAAAAATATCCTGCGACTTCGGTCCCTAAAATATATTTTTTCAAGGGCGACGATGTCGTATAGACTATAGCAGTATATATTTCATTATCATGGCGACGGACATACAATGCCTATAGTATACAGCATGCCATGGAATTAACGTGGAGACCAAATTGATAAACACGAAAGGGACGACGTATATTAAAAAGTCACTATACTAGAAGTCTAAAAGCACTTGTCACTGTCTCAGACAGTCCACTTAAGTCTCTCAAACACATGTTAACAAAGAAAGTTAGAAAGTTCTCCTTTTGTCGTCCTATTTGTCCAGAAAACTTTGACGCTGCCAACACGTTTACGTATATGTCTGTCCACTTAGACATGCGTGCATGCATGGAATAAATAAATAAATGTAGTAACGCTTTCGATGTTTCATCGTTTCAAATTGTGCGCGAATTATGAAATGAAGTTTCTCAATCATATATTGCATACAGCCTAGTTGAAAATAGTAGTTCTTAGTCCTCCTCTCACTCTTAGCACCTTTACATATCAGCTGTGCATAGACATACATATGACTCTTAAAGATGAACTGCATGTGCGTGTAAAGATCCGTGCGACGTATCCACTTCATATACACAAGTAAATACTTCAAGTAATGACGTTGTGATTCACTCCTCCGATTTGAAGAGGTGGAACGAGGCGTGAAAAAAACTTTCAATTTATTTTTTTCTTAGTCAAAACAACCCAAGGGCTTGGTGGTCCTTGAACCAAGTGGCCTTCAACTTGAAATTGTTTCCCAATGATAAGACTCCAGCCTTTTGCCCCACCCATTGCGGCAGCATGGCTTTTTCGCTTGCATTTTAAAAATACAAAACGGAAAATATATATTAAATGATTTTGTAGCATACCTGCCATTCCTATATAGAATAATTTCTCACAATCAGGTAAATGTCCAATGTCCAATATCGTTTTGAATGCTCTTATTCGCGGCTGCAACTTTTTATTTTTTGCCGTATGCAAATCAGAGCAAATCAACATTCCTAACATTAAATTTTTTTTGTATTTTCTAGGGTCTGTATAGGGAAGAAGCATTTTCGACATTTGTTCCGAGCGAAATTTTTCATTCATATAAAGTCCTGTGAATCACGAATCCTATGGCCATGTTAAATTGAATCTATTTTCCACATGCGTGCATATAAAAGGTGATTTTCAATGTTATATATATCAAAACATATTCACATGAAATTATTTGTACGAAAGACATTACTAAATGCAAGGCCCGATAGCCTATATATTGCAACTTTACCGTCAGGCTGTCTACATCCATCACATTATATATAGATAAAAACGGTTAACTGATAACGGTTTATGGATTCAGTTAGTAATAGTGAGAAAAACCCATCGATATATTGGCAATCAATTAGGTAAACATCGCCAAGTATAACTATAATGAAATGAATAATTGAAGACACAACAACACTGCCAACAGCTGTCAAAAACAAACTTGACATGGTGTATATATATAAGTGTGTTGCAAGACACACATGTTAACCACAAGTCTTTGATCGCGGGGTGCAAGTTATTATTTCCAACGAAGTGAATATAGTAAACGTCGATAGGGTATGTTCATTTTTATGTCTTATCGTATCTTTTTATACCACCGTCTTGTAGGTTCGCATATTTTTTGCTGCATGGTAGTGTTTAATACTTTTTCTTGTGATTAGAAATGTTGTCATGTTGTGCATCATGCATGCAAACACTGATGTTTCCTTCTTACAAGCATGCAATCATAATATTACTATTATATTTGTGCATGTACCACCATGCAGTTGTGTTTTTTACCTCATTTATCAAACATGCACGAGTTTCTTTTTAAATCGATTTCTCTGTATTTATTATACCTTAGTTTTACGAATATCTGCATGTATGTTTCAAGATTCAGCTTCTTTTATAGGTCAAAATTAGCAATCAGCAATTAAGAACTCGATCAAAGCTGCATGGATTTGATTCATGCAAAAGTTAAATGATTGTGCGCTCCATTTCTTGACCTCATTTTGTTAATTAACGACTTCAAAAGCCGTGTAATCGGTTTGTAGCCGAATAAGACAAGGTGCTACAAATCTTGGTCCGGGTCGCGAAACTGTATAAAAATTTAAAAAACTGCAAATAAAAATTTATGTACGCATCACGCGGCATATCAATTTAGATTTTTTTTATCGGCACCACAAATTACTGACTTTGTAAATGCATTGGATTATTATTTATTTAGGTAAGATGAAGACTGCTTTGTTTGTTTTGCTGATAATTCAACTGATTACAGTGCCAACGATGTCTCGCAATCTGTTTTCAAATGATTATCTTGCGGCACGGCGTTGTCCAACCAAAGCTTGCGATGGTTAGTACGGGTTTTATAGCTGCAAGGGGGGAATCGAGAAAAAAATCAGTGTTAAAGCAAGAACGATAAGTTGTTTGTTGTGTTTATTGGTGTTTCAACTTATTGAGAAGACAAATTAGCCTGTATGGCAGTTTGAGGGAAGCTATTTCGGCAGTAAATTGAATTTAATTCGATAAACAGAAAATATTCTTTTGGCAATTTTGCAAAAACTAGTTAGTATTTCGCTAGCTCGAACGACCTTTATACGGTTCATGACAAAAATGTGGAAAATTTTAGCAAAATTTTGCCCTCAATGCCCGGAATGTCCTCAGAACATGTTTATATCTTATGTAGTTGAAAAAAAGAACTGTTTCCTGGTATGCCATGATTGTGAAGAATATCCTACCATGTATAAAGATTGTTACGGATGCCAAAGGTGTAAAAACGAAAAGCAGCTAGCGATCAGACTCTAGTGTATGCATTAAGTGACCAAGAAGCAAGTGTCCGGAACTATATATCTTACTTATAAAACGTATGATGATGGTTACTTATAACCATGTAAACAAAGTATAATCAAGATAAAAATAAATAATGGTATTAAATCTGATTTGCAAGTAGTTTATCTTGAAAAAATGATCAGCCCTCTACCCACACCTCACACCCTAACCTGCCCCCGCCCGCGCTGAAATATCATTTTATCATATATTCAGTTTATTTGCGAGCAAATTGAGAAGGTAAAATCCAATATTTTGCTTGTTGAATCCCTACTGACAACTATACTGATTTTCCACAAAAAATTACGAACAGAGGAAAAGCAATGACAAGAACAGGATTCAAATGTAATGCAAATGTAATTAATTAGAGGGAAAATGATAATCCTCAATTAAGCTCATTACCAGATAATCTTCATAGGCATAGCCATGTATTGTTGAACAATTGAAGATGTAACAATTGACCTGTCTGCTAAAAAATCAACAAACGAGGACCGCGAGATTCTTATTTACTTATGTTTTTATACATACGAGATTGTTTTAGGCTTTGAATCGTTGGAACAGCATTTCCTGCAGCGTACTGGGCTATCAATATTTATGTCCACAATGTCCTACGCCAGCCTCGTTGCCAGGCGCTATTAATAAAATAAATATAGGAACACTACAGGCTTTTAAATAGATCAAAGGATCGGAGACCTTACGAGGCGCCACCATCGTTGTCGGTCGCACAAACCACGCAAACACTCTTGCCGGCACTCCCATAGCAATTCTCTTTGTCAGAGATTACATGCCTGTTAATTTTCATTATTCTTTGAGACCGACGTTTTGGACGTTTTGGGAGGTAGAGGCTGTCATACACCCAACAAAATCTTCAGTCAATCCTCATGTCATGTCTCTCAGCCCAAATCCATGAATGACATCTCACGAAGGTATATATATTCCCTGGATGCAAAATAGTTTATTTTTTAATTCGTTCGAAGACAAACGAACCAAGTGTAAACTGCGAATAACGGTCTTCATAGTCAAGATGTTTGAATACAATATTTTCTTTATCTTGTCCCAACGAATAAGCCAGACATGTCAAGCCGCGAGGGTAGACAATTTGCAAGTGTTGATGATCTTTAAAGCTGAGATAAACAAAAGGCGGGTAGCCAGGGTCTTGTTTCAGCATCAAGCGTCCAGTGAATGATTCAATCGAGATAATAGCTTTCACTTTATCACTCCAGCTATTTTTTAACATATAAAGACCAATGTATCGTCGTGATTTAGGTGGTGGTTTGATCTGCAAAAACAAATGCTCTGTTGTACAAATATCGCTTATAAACAAAATATTCAGCATGAAATATCACAGCTGTCAAAGTAAGCCATGACCCAAAACATAGCAAGAAGAAAGTCTTGTGAAAAAAAAGATGTGATGTTTACAAGAATTGTAACGTTGTATCAAAACAACCATTTACAAAAAAGTATTCTTGACAGGCCATTGATTCAGATGATTTATAAGATCCAAAGTAAATCACATGAATAAATCCGAAGAAAATCACATGAATTACCTCTAGAGAATTTAAAACTACGTTCATTGAGAAAGTCTTGGAAAGTTTCTTTGAAATTTCCTGAGCTAATTTTGGAACAATCTCTTGACCAGTAGCAAGTATGACCAAACCTTCATTTCACAAAATAATAAGCATAAGAATATATCAACGATCAAATTTTTAACATCAGTGGTTACGACGTTTCAAACTACTTGAGGGTTACTGTTGGGGTTTCTATTGGATCCTATCGAAGAGGGTCCTGATAGAGCTTCATAAAAACACATCCATGACTGGATGGTACCATCAGAGCTGATGATGGTGATTGATACGAACCATCGGTTATACGATACCGAATTATCAAGGCATTAAGTTTTGGTTAACTTAAATCTTACTTTTCACCTAAAATGGTAGTAAATACATATAGCATTGAGCAATGTATTTGCTGCACAGGTGAAGTTGTTTCAGCTCCGGTATACACGATACAGGATTTGAAAGTCTAACTTCTTCCTTACCGAACTTTTGTTCTGGCAATAAGATCATAGCCGATGAAGATCCTGGGACTGCCCCTGCATTCGTTATTGTGCGAATAGAATGATGGTATCGAATTTGCCATCCGGGAGAGAATATTTGCAGATCTGGGAATACGAATTCTGAAATAGCAAGAAGTAGAATGTAGATAAAATGCAGAAATATAACACAATGGTAATATTAAATAGAAATAGAAATAATTAAATGAAATGCCCAGATATATATGAGTATTTATGAGTGCCAAACAAAATTTCAAATATCAATTTCAAAATCTCAAGAACCATCAGTACTGATTACTATATTTTACTGAATTTAGCAAAGGGTAATACTTTACCAGGTTTAAACATATCTCTGATCATCATTTCATCAATGAAAGACGTTCCAGGGTTCAAAATGCCCAACATAAGCTTGAAACAACGTAACAACTCAATTAGCTCACTAACGTTCATTACGCAACACATAAATACTCAATATTGAGACCTAAAAATTAGGAAAATACTTTAGCTTGATCATTGGTTGATGTCAACATTTGAAACGAGGGTGAAGACCAGCCCCAGTTGAGTTGTGGTGATAAAACTCCGTTTGATTTGTAATTCTTAGCCACGTTATCAAAAAATCTAAAAATGTTTAATTGAATGAAAAATTCAAGCTCCATATCATGGAGGAGGTATCATGTTCTAAAAGGCAAAACTGCTTATTATTATTACCTGTCATTTTTCAAAACAGTTCTTTTCATACGAAGAGGATACAAAACTTCACTAAACATCCACTCTTGCCAGCTTTCATACTTTCCACCAAATTTTTCAAACAACGCATGTGCCAATATTGCATAACCGAGATTGCTATATTGAAAAAGAAAATACCAATGACTCATCTGACTGATCGCACGGCAGGTTCGCTGAATTTTAGACTGTCGATTAGGTATATATTGTCTTTTGTTCTGCGCATGAAAGTATATTATTCCACCCAGTAGCTTACCTATTTAGCTATACCGTAAAGTGGTAAGCTTTCTTTTAAACCATGCATGCATGGGTAGGAATGACATAGAGGAAACATTCATACCTGTAACCCACACTTGTTCCAGGTGTGAATTTTAATTTGAAACTCTTCAGTTTTTCAATAACGTATGTAGTATTAACAGGACAAATGTTTTGATGGTTTGATGAGAAGGACGGTCCACAAGGAACTTCTCTCTGTAAACCTGACGTGTGGCTGAGAATTTGCCTTCAAAAATTGAATTAAGTTCAGCAGTTGTCGTAGTCTGATTTCTAGCAGGGCTTTCATCCAAATATATAAAAACCTATACCTACCTGATAGTTACAGAATCCTTAATGTTCACACTTTTTACAGAAAATTCCGGTAAGTATTTCTTTAAGGGGTCATCTAAACAATCAAGTCTCTTATCTTGCAACAATTTAAAAGTCAGCAATACCTGTGATAGATAAACATTTATATTACCACCATTATATTAACAAAAAAATTATATTAATTAACACTATCAAAATTAGTCTAAAGGTGCTCGAATAATCAATTGTAATATGTTAATTACTGCTTTTGCAATCAATTATATATAGCAAATTCTAGAGGGAAATATTTGAAATAATTACCTAAAATAATTATTTGTCCATTTGCCCAAAAATAACGATTCTATATTCTAGTATTTTATCTCCGAGTAAAATGAGTATATAGATATAGGCGTGAAACTGCAGATCATACAAGCTGCTTCGGAGAGTTTTAAATTTGCATCGTTAAAATTTTTTCGGAATTATTACAAGCATTTTAGCATACCGTTAACAACTTGACAAGACTGCCTGTCCTATATAAAGTTTCTTTATCAGGAGACCTTCTAGGCACCACTGACTTATCTAAGACTCCATATGCGGCATTCCATAATACTCTATTTCTGAACACTGCAGTAGATGAGACTGACACCTGGAAAATAACATAAGAAAGAAATAAGAACAAAAAGCAAGAGAAGTATAGGCGGGAAAATTGAGATGGGAGGGAAAATTGGAAAGAAAATGAAGAAAACCGTGCGAAAAAAAAAATATTTTCGTTTCGGCGGGCACAACACAGTGGTATAACTGTGGTACTTACTAGTGTCTGTTTCTCGACCTCTTTTTTTAGACGTTGCTTTATCTCGTCGAATGTCTGTTGAAATGCACGGGGAAGGATATAAGGCAAGGAATTCAGGTTGCCAACAGGAGGACAATCCTTAGAAAAATAACGCAATATGAAAAGCCATGCATACGATATAACCACTAGATTATAACATTGGAACCATATTTCACTACAAAAGACTCAGTGTATATGCCGGGTCCACTATATTACCTGTCTCTGAGAATTAAGACTCTCATCCTTTTCCTCTTCATTGGGTATCTGTGAAAAATTTAAAACACCCATAAAAACAAAGTAGCTAGATAACATAGTTTTAAAATTCAACGCTTTAAGGGGACTTTATGGTTAAGATAAATCTTTGGTTAATTGTAAGACGGTGTCTTGATATATTTTAGAATTTCAGCTTTTCTTTTCACCATCCGAGCACTTACTCTAGATATATTAGTACAACTCAATTCTCGTATGAGGCGTCATCGTGGATTGCCGTATGTATAGCCCTTAACAATCTACAAATATACTCTCGAATCAATGAACCTATATTATAAATATATTTCCCTGTCTAAGCAAAGGTGATATAGCCACAGAATAGACATTATACCAGAAGCCTCACTCTTTGGATTTTGCTAATGTTTTCGTGTCCGAAATTTTTAAGAGGCTCACGCGTCATTCTACGCCATCCTGGTGAGTGCAGGAACTTTGTACCCCCATGAAAAAATTCCTGCACACACCAGGATGGCGTGAGCAAGAGTGCAAGACCCACTGAGGCAAGACCCAAATTGAATACTAAGCACCATTATGCTTGCGTGTGCTCGGTACTTGGCTTGCGTTATGCATGTGACGTCACCAGTGGGCGTCACACTTGAAAAAAATGTCGGACGCCAAATGCAAAGAGTGAGGCTTCTAGTATGTCTATTCTGTGACATAGCCTCACTCAGGGGGTCTTAACTTTAGGCTCTTGTTATTCAACGATGCATATGCATGGTTCGTTTAACGTGGTTCGTATCGCTAACCTAGCTCATGCATCAAATTATGTACGGTTCTGTTTTCCGAATTCACTTGTCACCACATAATGTTTTGCTATTTAGAAATTTCCTGAATACTTCACATTAGGAATATATAGTATAAAATAAAGTGGTAATGTGAAGACATCACGTTATACAAGAGGTAGAGCGGTGGGTATGGTGTCATGAACACTCAGTAGTGCACGTACATTAACGTGTATTATTTATATTCCCACATATATGAATGTATTTAATGCACGATTAAACAAATAACGAACTCACACAGTGCAACTATATGTACTGAGGACGTTTCAGAGGCTTTCAAAATTTTGGGAGAATGCGACCTGTGACAAAATTAGTTTCCACATGCAGTGGTCATGCATGCAGTCTGTGGACAGGATTAGTAATTTAGTAGAGAAACATGTCGTATATTGAAGTTTGGCATAGGTGCACAATTGCCACAGTTACATTTAATGTATGATTATGGCTCTATCTTGCACATGCACTTGTAATAGTTACACTTTTTTAGGCAACTGTTGGTTTCTTGGTCAAAACGACACAGAACTTGACACAGCAAGTCAACCGACAGTTTTCTGTACCGTAAATATATCTTATTTAAAACATTTAAAACATTTAGACAACACAATACTGACAAACACAAAGCCAGGGAATAATCTACTGGATATTGTATTATACGCTTTTGTGATTGTATCAGTGAAGACTCGATCTTCCTCGATATCGATCACAACGCTTAGTAGATCATATAATTATATGGCATGCACAAACTTCACGCGTAAATATGCGTATATAAAACGGACAGTTGTCGTGATAGTTGATCATGGTCGTCATGCATGATTATTTCAAACTATATACAGGATGCTGCGTTGGAAGTAGGGTTTCGTAACGTTGTTTAAGGTTTCAACAAAAGATTCGCGCGACTATCATATAAACAACTTAAATTTATATACAAAATGACAACATACGGTGTTTCTGCTCGTACATCCAGACCATGCTCGATCACGTTTAAATAAACAGACTCAAGATTCAAGAGCCGATGATGGAATCAGCAATATTGCTATGCATGAATTTTATATGAAGTCAACGAAAAATAAAAACACAAGATCTCCGCAGCTGGCTGAGTGGATACAACATTTCAACTGACCTGTGTGACGTCTTTAATACAATCTGTTTCGTGGTCAACTAAAAGCTTCCAAACTAAAATTGCAGAAACAGTTGCCAGAGCCAAAGTCAATATGGCAATCGTCGCTTTTAAATAAAATAATTTTATATCTTTTGGGATATCCTTTGCAATCGATTCTTTGGAATCATCATCTCGAGTAACGTACCGGACAACAGTTGAAGGCATTTGTAGGATATTAAGTTTTAGTGATGAGAATAAAAACTTTTATTAAGGCAATTGTCCTCTTTTAATATTCATGTCTTGGTGTTTGGGGAAGGCGCTAGAAATAATATAGAAGAAAATTAATATATTGTTGCTATGTGAAACAAGAAATGCGATGCAGCATTGCAGCTATATATAATATAAGAACCTGCATGCATGCAATTAGGTTTTTTATCAGTAAAATCAACGATAAGAATATCGTGATGTTATATAAAATATCGCGTGACTTGTGTTTTGCTGCGATTATCACTTGCAGGCACAGCTGTTATATTTATACTAAAGGCCATACAGCATACGATGTCGATGTGGTCAGTCGCGGCTATTCTTGCATGTGTTTACTTTGCGTATAGAACGTCTTCTCACTATAACCTTAATTTGCTTTTAGGCAGAAAGGCAAAAATCATAACATTTAAACTGACATACGTTCAAGGAAACAATATATCCGAAATATTTATGTCGTCCTTAATTGACTCCTTGACGACTTATGATTTCTATATAATACACGCTTAATAATAATAAATTAGTTTGAAGTAAACTTACCGATGATCATGCATGGGGCTATACAACAACTGTACTGCTCGACTGCGGTCGGTATAAAAACAGTGGTTTTAGATTCTATGAACATATGAACATGCAGTGAACACTAAGTCACAATGGATGTCATATCAGCAAACATATCAAATTACCGCAGAGCGATGTTTCAGGGTCTAAACTCTTGGCCTTGAATTGCCATGTTGCAGCACCACGATGTCGTTGGGGCAATGGCTCTAAATTTAATCAAAAAACTGTTGCGAAATAAAAAGTCTTAAATTTTGTGTAAAGCCAAGGTCGGATCTTATTTTCCGAAGCTTTTTTCTTATATTGGCATTAACTAATTAAATTGCCGGGCACGAAAAAGGAATATCGATTTATCGCCGGACATTTTTCATGACACTATATTGCATTGCATGGGTGTGTTATTGCATGGGTATTTAAAGATATATACTTTTGGGACACAATCTGCGTGTTTTTTAAGACAAGTATATATTAATTAGGTCGGCACAATTCTTCACGAAAAACATATTGTTTAGGTGTGAAAAAAGTACGTATATATACGCGAATATTAATACGTAGTGTTGTAAATTTTGTAAATACAAAAGGTACGAAAACATCGTTGAAAATTCACTTCCAAAAATCTGAAAATATCGATACCCGAAGACACGCAGGTACACAGCTTTTTAATCCCTCTATCATGCATAGACGACCTGCTAACGTAACAAATATTAATCTCATACACAAACTCTTAGACTTAGTTGAAGAATAATTTTACATCTTCTATATACGCTCTCTCGTCCATCCTTTTTAAAAGTTTTACTTTTTTATACCCCGGCCCTCTGAACAACAAATAAAGATCTCTTAAATGGGACTAAATAAGAATTGTTTATGCTAATAAATTACTAATAAGTTTACGTGCGGACAATTTTGATGCATTAAAATCAGTACACAGGTGATTTGAGATTATTTTCACTTTAGTCCCTGTTTGTGCAGATTAAATTCTTCAGAAGATGTTCTATAGTATTAGTAGGCCATAAAGGACATCAATTTTCACTCGCGTCTCATTTCATCATGTCTCCTTGTGGACAGTATCAGAGTGTTTTAGTATTTCTGATATTTTTCCTAAACGTCGCTACTTCAGTGATACAAACCGAAACTTTCGTTAAGATTGCATCAGGTACGTTCACGAAATGGCAGATTTATTTTATTGCTGTATGATTATTTTAGTAAACAACTGCGTGATGCAAATGATACAGGACATGAATTCCCCAATTATTCATAGCTATATATCTATATTAGTTTCCCTTCATTTCAACCCTTTCCGAGTTTTTCCATTTTCAATGTAGCGTTCCTTGTGGCTTATGGCCTTATGCAGAGCTTTTTTCGTGTTTCCTGTCACTATTGTGTGTACTTTTAACTAATATATATAGCTACATAGATATGTACTTATGATAAAATTCAGTATAATGAGTAAAAATTATTACAGCAGAATCCTCCTCTCGTAATAACAACAGATGAACATCTCTCATGCCATGGACCTGCAATCTAAATCACTCCTAACGCAGAGACTGAGTTTGAGTTCAATTATACGAAAATTACTTTTTCAAAAAGGAAACTCTTGTAGAAAATACATATAAATGCAAACGTAAACAAATATCTCGACAGTTTTACAGCGCCGTTTAAACAAACAATGTTTTGGCAAAATAAAATTAGAAATTTCTTTAAGGTAGTTTTTGTACCTTATCATAATTTTTAGGCCTAATTTTTTCACTTTTTCACTTCTAGGTAAAGTGTGTTATTATTTTTTCCTGGGGCGTAACTAGAACGATAATTCGGGTGTGATTGAATAACTGACAAGTTATTCCTGCACGACGGAAAAAAAACCGTCGGGCACAGCAAAACGAACATATGAATAAGCACCACGACGATTATTATCTCGCAGTAAGGCTAGGTCGCTCGACCAATCAGAGACCAGAATTTTCAATAATCATTTTTTTTGTAATTGTACTAAAATCATATAATTTATTTATAAATATAGGATAAATTACTCCGAACGCAGCGTTTATTGCTACGTACAGTCAGTATTTAAATGCAACGTAATGAGATTGTGTCACGTCTCATTCAAATGACAAAGTTTGTTAAATTGTTACATAAGAATTGCATGATGCTTCATCAGAAGATTACCCTTTAGATCGACTCAGCAGGAATGTGTGCCTTTTCTCTGTCACAAACCGCCCAACGTCTGAGACGGGCGGAGGCTCATAGTTATAGAATTCTAGCGTCCTTAATTTACCTAATTTTCCTTTTCTTATAAAGGGAATCGCCTGGATGGTCATGTACTCAGTCAACACAGAACAGAAAGCGTCATGGAATGTGCACAGTTGTGTTTGAGAAAAAGGTTTTCATGTAAATCCATCAATTATAAATCGCTGAATAGAAAAAATCAGAATTCTTCAAAAAACTGCGAACTAAATGACGCAACGAAAACTGGCCAGCTTCAGAATTTGAAGGTGGACATGGAGTACAACTATTATGAATCATTTGCCAAGCCCAAGGTATAGAAATGATACATATCTCTTTACTGAAAGAGAAAATTCATCCTGTTTTTTGATTAGAAAAATCATTCATGTGAATAACATCCATATACTACCAAAATACCAACGAAATATTTACAAAACTTTATCTCATGATAAATAGACCCAAATGTCTAATGTAGAAAGCAAGGGAAGGTCATCATCTCATAGGCTTACAGAAATTATAAATATATTCTTACGAAAAATAACCTGTTTGTTATTGCAGGATAAAGATAAACAGACAAATCAGAAAAATGGTGCCGTAAACTATGGTAAATTAGATGTAACTTCACATTTACCGTGCACAACATATACTGAATTAATGTAATATTTTTACTGTAATTTCACAGCACGGCGCTAAGCCCTTTCCCCCCCCCCCCGTGATCCGTCCTATAAAATGGCGTCCCCTATGGCCTATGTAATTGAACACTGTGTATCGATCCGTATTATTCAATTGTCGTTCGACAACATTTGATGCATGTTTTATTTTCCTAGCTAAAAGTTGTGATTCCGTATACCACTCGGGAAAAAGAACCACAGGGGTTTATACAATCGACCCAGATGGCCTTGGACCTTTTCAAGTAAGATGCGATATGACTTCAACTCCAGGGAGGGGGTGGACGATATTCCAGAGACGTGTTGATGGCTCAGAAAACTTCTTCAGAGAGTGGAAGGACTACAAAAATGGATTTGGAAACTTGAGTGGCGAATTCTGGTTGGGTTTAGAAAAGATTCACCGTTTGACAGAAAGTGGACAGAACGTGTTACGAGTTGATCTTGAAAGTTTTGAAGGACAGAAAAGATTTGCCAGATTCGGTACATTTACTGTGGGAAATGAAAATGAAGATTATATTTTAAAGATTTCTCAATACACTGGTAAATAAATGATATATACAAATCGGTTTTATCTACAACTGACACTGACACTGAAGCAAATAGAATCGTCCCTATGCCGCAAGTTATCGTTTAATTAAGCGCGTGTGGTTTTTTATTTTACAGGGGACGCTGGAGATTCATTAAGCCTTCATAATGGGATGAAATTTTCTACTAAGGACGTCGATAATGATCTAAGAGGTGATGGTGAATGTGCTAATATCTTTAAAGGAGCATGGTGGTATCAACATTGCCATGCCTCAAACTTAAATGGTCAATATCTTGCTGGCGCTCACACTTCCTATGCTGATGGAGTTAATTGGCATGCCTTTAAGGGACACCATTATTCTTTGAAAACGACGGAAATGAAAGTACAATCAACATGAACAGAATAGCAATTGTATGCACGGACGTACAGTAGTTTCTTGGCAAAATATTTGTCATGGTAATCATCGTCTGTCACAATAGTTTATATAACAGGCAGTAAAATACTATATATATACCATGCACGGTAAATTTGTAGACCAGGGGCACAGTAGAGTTGTTCGTGAGAATTGGAAAACACGGAGTATAAATGTTTGAAAACAACGTAAATTATACATATATGATTCATAAATGAAGGATCGCTCATAAGTCTATACTAATTTTTGATACCACAGTAATAGTATAAAAAAAAGAATACACAATAACAAAAGATTATAGCTATAATGCCTCTTGCTCAAAGTCATAGAATTATTGTTGTAGCTAACTACATTACGTGTCTTTATATCACCTTTAATCACACCAAAACTGCCGCATCCAATTTCCTCTTTGTCTACAATATCCTCCCATTTAAATTGAGGAATATTATTTATGTTTAAGGATAAGTTTTTTGGTCGTTTATTTACCATTTGTGGAATAGAAAAAACGTTACGCGAATTTGACGCAATGTTGTTTAAATCACGCTATCAAATTTGCATAATTCACGTTGAGTCATTGACAGAAGACATGTCTTCTGGATTGTTTATGGTCAGACTCCGTAATTGACATATTCCATAATTTGTGACTCTGGAACTCCAACTCCGAAACTCCGGCTCCGGAACTCCGACTCTGTGTTATATCCATGTTACCCTAAAAACAAACATTGAATGAGTGAGGTATTAAAGAAGATGTAACGAAGTACGAACTTACTCTGTTCATTTACTTCATTACCAAAAAGATGAGACGGACGGAATCTCGCATTAAAGTATTAGAAAACAATAACTTCGAATACTGAAGTATTGATAAATAATGATCGCACATCTGAAAATTGTCAGAAAGCTTTGTCATATAGTTAATAAAAAATCCTCATTATGTCGATAATGGTAATCTATATTCTATATCTACACTACAATGGCCACGGGGCTCGAGGCAGGCAAGACTTGAAACAGGAAATCAGATTACCTTTCGACTAAATGAAAAGGCATTTTTCATCATTTATTACTTTTTGACAAACTGTGGCTAACTCAAATTTTTTTGCTAAATTCATATCCTTGCATTATTTTTTACTAAATTCATGTCCATTATCAAAGTTTTTTAATTCAAGACAATGTACTTAACATCTACTGATTGGGGATTTCCAACAGGTTTTTTCACAGTTTATTTACAAAATCAAACGACATCCGTTTTTAGACTTTATAATCTGTGGGGCAACAGACAACAGTGCAACCACCTTGTTACGAGCTTCGAGGATCCGGTGTTACCATACGTAGTAGTGAATTAAACCTCGCTCTTTGATGGAGATTGACTTAAGTGAATTTATTACATTATTATAACATGAATGCCAATGGAGGAAGGGAAGTGTCAATCAAGAAAGCATGAGGTTGTACATTTTGGAGAGGAGAGAGAGAATTTGAGATTTTGTGTTGTGAATTGAGATTTGCGAGTGTTGTAAATACTGATTTGGAGGGGAGTTAACGACACCCTTATACTATGACCACAAACACTTCTCATGTCTCGAACTTATCTACACTAATAAAACACTGCATGTTGTGTTGAAAGGTCTGTGTTATTGTACCATGATATCCTAAACTCTTCAGAATTGACTTGGGCGGCATGACAGATTTCGTCCAGGAAGACTAGCATGGCAGCAACAGAGATCGTGAACATAAGAAAATAAGATGCCATATACCAGTACAAATATCAGTTTAAATAATCACAATTACCGTCCAGTTTTCCTGCGGTCATAGCTGACAACATAAATAAAGACAAAATTTAATAAAGTTAAAATGTAATCTCAGTGCATCAGGCGCTGGTTCCAGAAGGAAGCCCCTTCACAGTAGGTTCAGGAGGTAAGGTAAGGATTTAACAAGCTCGCATCATTTTGTCGCTAAGGAATCTTCAGCATCACTTTACAGCCAATCGGATTGTCTCTTCGTTCTCATTCAACTATCTCGTCTTAATCTTGAGAATTAGCCAAATGATACGGATGAGGTGGTGATTAAGAGAACATCTTGAAGTCTTGAAGAACACATATTCCACGTTTAAAGTCACGTATCTGGCGAATGTGGTCGTTCTTTTATAAGCACCAGGATGAGGAAGTATTGCATTTCAATTTGGCTGTTTCACGTCTTTCAAAATCAGTGAAGTGCTCAACTCGTCAAGTGAAATTATAGTCTAAAGACGAAGCTTTGCATGCTTTAATTGAAGAACATGAAGTTCATCGCGACAAAGAACAATGTTCCGGGAATTGAACCCAGTAACCGTGTGTACAAGTCAGCTTCCATTAGACCATTATGTTTTCTATTCTGAGGGCGTTTTACGTCAGACATTAAAGTCAACTGGGTTGCGAAAATATTCTAAACTTTTTATCGAGTATAACGAGACACACCAGTTATGCGGATATAAATTGTCAACAGAAATGTTTAGCTTTCATGCAATTTTACTCGTGAAAAGTTCAATTTTCGTATGGAAAACCAACCGTAAACACGGTTCCGAACACACGGACACTGTTTTTTTACGAGGGAAACCAGAGTGCCTGGAGAAAAACCCTCACCGAAAGCCGGAATTAAACACAAAGTACACAAGTTTGAGATTTTATTAAAACAAAGTCATGTATTACAACAAAGTGTGTGTGTTAAAGATATTGAAATCAAGAGAGAGGAGACGGACAATTTTGGTCCTATTTTTATTAATACTTCACTAAACATGTATTACAAAGCGTGTGTGTTTTCTTTACATAGTACATCATTAATATACGAAGACATTAAACTATTATATCTAAAACCGGTTACAAAGTAGGTGCGTTAAGATCTTGACATTTAAATTTATAGAACAGTGCAGGTTAAATGTTTTTGGCATACTTTAGTATAAATTGTTCATGTCTTTTTACAGTGTGCTATTGTGTTTGAGTAATGTTTAAGACTGATCAGTAAAACATGCATTAATGTGAGTAAGTGTTTCTAAGTTATCGTGTATTTTTTGTTCTATTATAGACTTAACCCACTAACTCTGGTAGAGAGCTGAATAAAGCTTATGAGATCGACGAACTAATATAGTAATACATAAAAATGCCTGAGTTCAGAGCGCTTAGATTCAAGTTACGTTCGTCCAAAAACTAAAATTATTCTGCTGACAAATCATAGGCAGTGTTCCTAATAGTTTCGTTTTAAGCTGTCGAACTGTGCACACATATTTCAAGGATCGAGTTAACTTGAAGATATTTCATGAGCCCTTATAGAAACAGCATGAAGGCATACACAATTGTCCTTGAAAACTTCATTGCACATTTCAGAGCTGAGGCATATAGCCAGAGCATGCTGCCCTTGTAGAAACAAGGTTTGGAAAAAAATACCACAAGAAATTGACTTTATATTTTTGAGGCTGAGGCATATAGCCAAAGCAACAAACTGTCGAAACCAAGTGCAGCATCAAGTGTAAATATTTTTTTTCAAAAAATTCAGTCAACATTTTTTGAACCATGCATGCAAGGGATATTCCTAAAGCAAGCTGCCCTTATAGAAACAGCACCAAGAGTACAATTTTTTTCAGAGAAACTGACTAATACTTTTAAAGCCAAGGCATATAGCCAAAGAAAGCTGCTCTTATAGAAACAGCCACAGGAGTACATTTTTTTCTTTGAAAATCTGGTTTAAAAACTTTTAGAGCTAAGGCATATAGCCAAAGCAAGCTGCTCTTATAGAAACAGCAATGAAAATAACACTGCAACGTTATTAGATATCCCAAGATACCTGCTAACACTTCGAACCACATAGCAAAGTCAAACAGTACAGACAAAAAGTGGCGCCTTACTTTTCATAAGCACTGCTCGACGAAGCTAAATGATTGGAAATCTCACAGAGACCTTGGAAAAATAATAAAGTTACAATGCCACTGCCAATGTTTGTCTCGTAATTGGTTTCTAACTATAGTAGAAATAAGGCATATATATCGTTTTAAGATAACAGCATGCACCCCCTCCCCACCCATTCCTTATTTTCTTTAAGTAAATTCAAATTCATTAAATGAGAGCATGTGTGTGTTAACTTTGATTGCATAGTCATGTATTTAAGAATGAGCAAGACAGTATAAGACATGCCGTAAAATCAATGTTTCTGGCTTGAATATTAACTGTAGCCTTAAGTGAATGCAAGAGATAAGAGAGATATAAACTAGAAGCCATTATATAGGCCATGGTTTGCATCAATGTATTTACTCGTGTGCGTGTCTATTTTATGTGCAGCTACAAGATCATGAGGTATAGTGCATGATGTTTTTTATCTGTTCATATTTTGATATAAATCATGTTTTTTCATAAATACATACACAATATTATATGTTCAATTACAAAATATAGTAAGGCAAGATATAATCGTATATTTACAATGTTTGCTGAGAAATCAAAAACGTATTTACATACAAATAATTTTACAACCGGACCGAATAGTGACCCTATAGTTATCATTTTACAATGTTAATTCCGAAAGCCGCAATTGACCGGATTTCAAGAGCCGAAGATGATTTCAATCAGGACAAGATAGAGAAAGAGGAAAGAACCTACGGGATTATGTCTGCCATTATTGGCTATGGTTTGTGTTAGTGTGCATGGCTTTTTAGCCATTTCTTAAGTGAAATATGGGTATATTAACAGTTTTGATATGTTTTCAGTTTTAACAGACAAATTATCAACCTAAACCTTAGCGCAGCCCTAAGCGCAGGCGAGCAGTCCTAAGCGCAAAACCGATTAAAATATTTAACCGAATTTAAGAAACGTTTGCTCACATGCATCATGCATTAGCTATGTTCCTGGTGGCCAGAACTTAGTTAACTGAATTTAAAACTTTATTTAACTTAAGTTCGTTAACTAAATTAGTTAACTTTGTTAAGTTAATCATGCACAGACTAACCCTGCATGCACATTTTTTGACCACCAGGCTACTCTAACCTGTAGGATGCTCGGGCATCGCTGATGCGTTGCTTTTTGGCGTCGATTTGGCGTAGTTTTGGCGTATATTAGGCGTCGAGTTGGCCTACATTAGGCGTAGAGTGCCGTCGAGGTTGCCTACATTAGGCGTAGAGTGCCGTCGAGGTTGCCTACATTAGGCGTAGAGTGCCGTCGAGGTTGCCTACATTAGGCGTAGAGTGCCGTCGAAGTTGCCTACATTAGGCGTAGATTTGCCGTCGAAGTTGCCTACATTAGGCGTAGATTTGCCGTCGAGGTTGCCTACATTAGGCGTAGATTTGCCGTCGAGTTGCCCTACATTAGGCGTAGATTTGCCGTCGAGGTTGCCTACATTAGGCGTAGATTTGCCGTCGAAGTTGCCTACATTAGGCGTAGATTTGCCATCGAGTTGCCTACATTAGGCGTAGATTTGCCGTCGAAGTTGCCTACATTAGGCGTAGATTTGCCGTCAAGATTGCCTACATTAGGCGTAGATTGGCCGTCGAGATTGCCTACTTTAGACGTAGATTTTGCCGTCGATTTGTCTTGTCGGTAATAGCTCAACAGAGCCCATCAACCTGAAATAAGATTAAAGAAATAAGCAAACTACATTTTTTATTGAGAAGAAACACGCGTAAAATCGGGATTGAAAACAACATCTATAAAACCCTTCTGGGATTTCAAGTATTTCCTAAATTGCCATAATTCATATCAAATTATCATGCGGCCGTTGTCGTTTTTGACCTGAATCATGCATAAACTTCCCAGCATTGTTCGGTTTATCTAAAAATGTTTAATTGCTTAATACTCACGTTTTATTATGAACAGGTTTTGTCGTTGTTTCAAATCGCTTGACCCGCTAGATCGCTACCTGCAATAAAACCAAAAGAATGCTTGTTATAGACAGCGATTTCAAGGATTTACCTTCGATGAAGGGAGCTTAAATATCGGGAGAAAACTTGCGGTGATTATTCAGTTGAGAGAAGTCAACGCATGATGCCTGATCAAGCGTTTCAAGTTTTCCCATCCTATTTTGAATAAAATAGACATAAAATTACCTGTTAATTTCGGCAACAAGTGTTGAAGAGCAGCTTTGGACTCGCCGTCTCTTTAAATGCGAGTCATCTCGGGGAATTTCAGCTATGGGTTTTCTTTTCCAGCTCATTTCTATATTCGGTTTGGTTTTAGCTTTTAAACTCAACCTGGAAGAACAAAAGGCAATGTTAGTTTACTGGTTTGGTCTTTATAACTCAATTCAAAGGTGATTGCTTGCGATTGGAGCAAAGGTTAAAGCGGCTCACATACGATTTAGCGTATATTACCTTTCTCATATCATCAACAAGTCCCAAGAAAATGCGTAGACGTGCTTTCTCTTCAAGATAACGCATCTAGAGTCAAATGCGAGTCGTCTCGGGCAATTTCAGCTACGGTAACGGACTTTTTGCCCACTTCACTTCATTCAGTTTGGTTTTAAGCTCTCAAACTCCACCTGGAAGAATAAAAGGCACCATTAGTTCACTGCTTAGGTCTTTAGAACTCAATTCAAACGTAATTTGCGTGTGGTGAGAGGGAAGGTTAGCGGCTCAACAGTAAGATTTGACGTATATTACCTTTCTCATATCATCAATAACCCCCAGAAAAAGCCAAGACTTGCTTTCTCTTCAAAGGCGAGTTATCTTGAGCCAGTTCAACCACAATTCACCGGTCGTCAATCTCTTGTTCACAAATTCCATCGTTAACTTCGCTTTAATACGTCAAAATTCTGCATGAAAAGAATAAAAGCTACGTTAGTGCTATACAAGTTTGTATTTGAAGCTGAACACAACACGAGAGAGGCATTACAAGACGTGAACTAAAGACACGTGGAACCTCAGCTCAAAAGCTCACGATGAAACAACCCGATAAAACACGCAAAGGGAAAGGCATATTACCTGGTTTTACACCAACAACAGTCTGTCAGAGATAGCAAACTTCTATTAAACTTCTCTTCTGCTGAAGACGATAGCAATCTGATAGCAATTTCTGTTGAAATTTTCTTGGCATGGAGGAGACTCATCTTTCTTCTTCGAAGACCAGCGTTGAAGTGATGTCTCAAACTGGAACAAGCAAATATTATTCATTTCACCCGCTCCTCGTGTCTGCAAAATAAAGTCATCCTATTGGATGAACACTCCCGACCTGACAGTTCAACAACGCTTTTGATTGAACGTTCATAGTAATTTAAATAATATAATTAATTCTCTTCTCCTGAGCCTGAACATCAGAAATGAAAGGGAAAAATTAATCATATTATTCAAATTACTATGCTCGTCCAATCAGAAGCAATGTTGAGCTGTCAGGCCGGGAGTGTTCAGCTAATAGGATGACTTTATTTTTCAACACGAGGAGCGGGGAAAATAAATATCTAGCTTTGATTCATCGTTGCCACATCACAACTTGGATAACACGGAGTCGAAGTTCCGGAGCCGAAGTTTCGGAGCCGGAGTCCCGGAGTCAAAATTACGGAGTCTGACGTAGTAATATTGGAAAACATGTTATCAAATTTGCATAATTCACGCGGAGTCATTGACCACTGAGCTTGGCAGACTTCCAAACATTTATACTCCGTGTTTTCCATATTTTTAACAGACTCCGTGTTTTTCATAATTTGTGACTCCGTGTTTTCCAATATTACTACGTCAGACTCCGTAATTTTGACTCCGGGACTCCAACTCCGAAACTCCGGCACCGGAACTCTGACTCCGTGTTATCCATGTTACCTGCACTCTCTTGAGAACCTTTGACCGCATATCCTTAGACGTCACAGGAGAGTACTTTAATTTGCAGATAACAAACAAGATATTCATAAAATACGTTAAAACTGTCCTTTCGTACACCATCATGACGCATTACATGTGTCGTTACAGCCTACAGGTGCTAAGTTTATGCCAAGAGCTCTTTTGATTTCTGCTATCACGTTTTTCATACCATGTATGCACGTAAACATTTATAATTCACCCTGGTTTTCGAAACCAACAGCATCTATAAGTATAGACTATACATATTTCGTTGGCTCGAATGTTGAAAACATAGATTGAGAAGCGTGATTTCGAAAGCAAAATCACTCTTTGTCTTTGAGCAAGCAAACAAACACTTTGTATAATACCAATCGACATAAGAATGTAATTTCTTCTTACCGTGAGACCATAATACTCATAAATGAAGTTAATGAACGGATATTGGGAATTTTGTTCTCATGAAGGTCGACGATCCATTCAATACAAAAATCTTTGAAACTTCCAACTTTTCGTAGTCTTACACTCATCTTCAGGCACTAAATCTTAGCAAATCCCAGAAACGATACTTCAATAAACTTCATTCATACTTCTATCCTCGATTTTAGTGTTGTGCTTGTATATTTTCCTCAGCTTGATCTCACAATACAGGGTATATCCGAAAACTGCCGAACTCTTTTGAAAGATATTTATGAACGTTGCATAACTTAGCACTAATTGAACCAAAGGGTGCGTAAAACACAATTCATCATTTTCGGGAACGTGGAAGCTCGTACTGTTAGAATTTATGTGGTCATTCGATAAAACGTATTTTCAAATCCCAGAAGTACAATTAGTTTCCATTGAAAATTGAAATACTGCAAATGCAGTATCTGCTATGCAAATTATTAGTGTTGCCACAAAAAATGGAAATTCGCTTTAATCGCTTTCTAGTCGATCACAAAAGATATATAAATATTGTTGTCAGTGCGTATTAACAAGACTAGGCATCTCTCTTTTTTACCCTTTGCACATGAGAAAGAGAATGTTTAAAGATGATTAAAAATTTCAACCAGTAAATAAAGGATTGCATGCATGGCAATGGTTCCTAACACTCCTGAAAAAATTCTCAGACGCCAACTGCTCAGGAATAAGAGCCCTCTTCGAGTCAACTGACGCAAGTACTCATTTGATTGACTTTGTATTTAAGTACAGTTCACAGTCCACTGCATTGACGTACAGCTGCCCCCAGTGGTTTCCTTACGATGTTCTATTAAAAAACAGTTGTTTTCAATAATGCGTAATGTGATTGGGCAGTTGACAAAAAACGTGAAAAGTTTCCGACTGTAAGTAGGTCTATTCTGTATGTTTTTCACACTGTTCTGAGGAACGTCGAAGACTCAAGTATTTGGCCTGAAGTCAGCGCATGACAAACACCAACAACTTTCTAAAATAAAGGAATACATTTTATTTGCTTCTAAAAATAACTTAACAATAATTCCTTAAAACTACTACAGTCTACAGAATGTCAACAAGAATAATTTGTTACTCTGTCTCTGGTTACGTCATTGATGCCGCCAATGACTTTGTTTTCAAAAATGCAGAAACCTGCTCTGCATCATTCATGATAAGTATTTACCATCCAAGCACATATGTAGTTTTAATTCTTACATTCGTCAAGAATATACTAATATTTCTACTATGTACAAGTCACATATTTTCCCACCACTACAATATATAGGCTACACCCTTTCTCTCATAGCAAGTCTTAACCACTGACTAAGTGGCTTGTCATTCAGTCATAACACATCTCCCCAAATAAGTTATATATTTAATACATATCAAGCAAACTATAGTATATATGTTTCTTAATTTGTAATTAAAATTGAAAAAAGAGGAAATTGGGATCACGGGTATATTCAAAAGGTGATCTTGGTTCTGGAGAGTAAGGCCCTAATGTGTGAGGTGGTTGAGCCAGCAGTGGGACAGGCAGATGGCCTGATGGGAAGAAATTACGATGTTGTAATGGAAATTTCACTTCTGGTTGGTTCATCTGGTAAGGAAAATTATGTGGAGCATGAAAGACTGGATGATGTTGCTGAGCACCAGATGACTCTTGTATCCTCATTTGAAAATCTTCATATAGTTGTTCTCCACCACTTGGTACTCTATAGACAAATCCATTTCTTGGTAGCATGCAAAGACCTTTACCATTCACTCTGAATTTATCAAAGTCTATATTTTTGATGTTGTAGATTTTTGATGCCCATTTTAACCATTCCATTACATCTCGAATTTCCCATGTCCGTGGATCTAAAAAAAATAATAGATTACTAAAGACAATATTAACAAGTATTTTATCTTAACGGTAAATCAATCTATTAGAAAACTTGTTTTCATTGCACGGAGTTTAGGAAAGAAGTTGAATAGCAAACATGTATGGATGCCTTTCCAAGCTACCGACTAAATATGTATAATTCTTAGATTTCTGCCTAATATTTCTGCCTATGCTGAAATATTACGCACTTAGGATGCTATATCCCTATGTAGTATGTATACCCTACCCTTGTGTAAATCAAAACTTTGTACTCAAAGTTTTTACCAAACATTGTGCATTTGGTCATACTTTCTCAGGACGTGTTACTTGCAACTAATGTCTTGTGTTTTGGTTAAAAAATACCTGTTGGAATGTTTGGTCGGTCAAACTTAAAGACATCATCTTCATCATCATCAATATCAGGTACAACACAGTCTTCATGTTGAGATGATACACTTCCTTTTTTACGGGTTGGCGATGGGATTTCTAAAAAAATTATTTAATTTTTTTTTACATATAACAGACAACACTAAATTTTTTGTTGACCTATTATAAATGCAGAGTGCAATAGCATGCAGCATTTCTAACATATCCCCACTAGATTTGCACTACAATTACAAATAGGCTAAAACCCCCCATCAAATATTCAATCCCCTTTTCAAATATTCAATTTCAACCCATGTACTTTTTAAAAAACTGAAAAGTGAAACATAATACCATACATAAAGAATTCTCAAATCTCAATAAAAATTGGTTCAAAAGACTTCTTATAAAGTGGAAGGTCTTTTAAATAAATGCTAATTGTTTGTGCAGGAAATAAAAGCAGATAATGGCATGTGGCAAAAACTAAACTTGGTGGGCAATATGCAAGTTTATTTATAATGCAAGAAGATTGAAAGACTTCTGTACCACAGTAAACAAAATAATTATGTGCAAATTTCAGTGAAATTTGTGGGATGTTCTGAATTACTATAAAATCGTTTATGGCTACTGCTTAATCAGGATAACACCAAGATATAAAGTACTTTCAGGAATGTTTGTTGTCTTAGCAACTAAAATTATTGTGGGCATATAATCCGGGAATGATATTGCATTTAATTTGCGAGCTTTGTTCAAGGACTTCTTCACATTGTGGCCACACAAAAGACGAACAAAAACATATGAAAGTCGCCGTACGATCAAAGTTCATGGCCTCATTCAATAAATACTTGAAATAATTGAGCCTGGCCGGGAATAAACAATGTTTATTCAATCGCTGCAGAGTCCAAGGGCAAGAATGTTCTTTTCAAACATAAACCACTTCCGGTCAACACAGCATTTTCCGGTCAGAAGTTAAAAACCGACGGCAATTTCAAGCGAAGAATGTGTGCAATATAATAGCAACAACACTTACCATCGAAATTGACTCGTAAATCTAGAAATGATTCATCGATTACATTTTGTTGACTCAAAGTTAGTCTGTCTTTAAGCTGCAATATAAACCATTATTATAAAATGAGAATGACTTCCTTCATAACTTATAAAATACGTCATTAAGGTCAAAATCGTCCCCTCGATGCGCAATGCTTTGCTTTACACGAAGGGAAAGAAAAGTATAAATGTTATACAAACAAAAAACACACACACATATGACGACCTAGTGATAATCTTTTCTACAATGTGAGCGTACCGCGGCGGTATGCGGCCTCTGCGGCAAGGCAAATATTTTTTTTGAACGCTTCAAAATTTTGCATGTTTACCACTTCAAAACACTTTGTGGTTAAATCGTTTTAACAACTAATAATAAAAATTTGAATTTCCCCAAGGCTTCGCTTTGCTGTATCAAAACAAAGCCAAGATGAGACTAAAATATTTAAAGTAAAAACAATTTGGTTGTGTGACAAATATAGAGTATCATTGTCCCGAAGCGTATCGCGTGTTATGGCAAATTGCCATATGGCCAGCACACACCAACAAGGCCCAACAAACTTGAATATTAGACTAGGTTTTAATCACACCTCAATTTCATCTAGTAATATCGTTTGTTCTGTTATTCCCAATCCTTCTTGACTTTCTATAATTTCTTTTAAACGCAGTACCGTACAAGACAGCGGAACACGAAATGTTAAAGGAAATCGTGGCGTTCCATCATCAACATTCACACTACATAACAAAGCGATTTCATGATTAAACTAACATTCAATACAACTGTAAATGTCTATTTATCACATACTTACTGGATATTTACTGTTTCCATATTGATTGATTCTTTATTCCAATTGCAAATCAAAAATAGATCGATCAGGCTTGATTTACACAAAGCAGATCACGGTCCACGCCAAGTGAACTGCAGGAGTCGGAGCTTTTAAAATGTTCTCTTGTCAAACTATTTGATTAAAATTGCCAAAACACTTAAGCGGTTTCCATCTATGCCCACGAAAGGCAAGTAGATAATATCGGCCACTGAACTTTCGTGTTTTTCACAAAGAAAGCTCAACGTCCTTTCGAAAATTTCGCACGTATTATTAGATGACGTCTTTCAATGTTTGGCGGTTGCTACTGTTAATCTTCGTAATTATTCCAGTCGCATCGGAAGGGCGAGGTTCACCTTATTTGGCAATATTTAAACATCGGAATTTTCCGTATAAAACCTTCGGAATGTGTACGCCGAATGAGTGATTAGATTTTTATATAATATATTTAAGTGGTTGGGGTAACTTGGTCTTGTGGTGTAATGGTTAGCACCTAGGACTCTGAATCCTAAGATCCGAGTTCAAGTCTCGGCAAGACCTGATTTTTTGAAGACATCTCGACGCTTTCTTCCATATTCATAATTCTTCTTCTGAAACGTTTTCACCGATCCAATATCTTTTCAATAATCCACTCCAATTCTAAAATAATACAATAAAGTTAATAAAAATATTTGGAGTAAATATTTAGCCTGCGTACAGGTTGGGCTATCTTCTACCCAGTATATACGTTTGTACTTTATAGTGATACATAACGAATGATTTTACACACTTCTTGAAGTTCCTAAATTCAAAATCTATTTTGTTTTCGAAATACGATGAAAATACTGAATTTTTTATACCGTAAAAATACCGTCCAAATTCAGAACAGTGCACCCCACTGTATATCCAAGACTTTCTCATCTAGCTTTCCCTTCTTCGTCACATCTTTTTCTTTCTTATTCTATCTTCTTATCACTTGGGTATTTAGATGCCTTGTAGCCCTTATACACATTTCATTTCGAAAATTCGCTTATTCGATTTGAAATAGTGCAATTAAAAAATGTCAGAAATCGTTGTCATGGTCGTTGAGACCTCTGAGCCTCGTTGATGAATGCGACAAAAATGCCGCTAGTGCAAACCATACTTGACGACAGTGCTCACATCCGCGTTCCATGTATTCAAGTTCCACGTGATTGTTTCCACAAAGACGAAACGTGTCCTTGTGAAAAACGCAGTTTATATTAATTATATACACTATTCAGTTCAGGCGATCAGTCAAAGTCTGTACGATCGGCAAGTGCCTTGATTAAAACAAGTATATTAGTGCTTTTGCGGTGTTGCCTTTTAAAACCTGGCCAAGCACGTGAATGAACAAGCTTTTCATGCCATATTGCAGGCCAAGTTGCTTATTACTTCTTTACAAACCAACGACAACGTACGGCGAAAAACAGTGTATTTATAGCACAACAACAAGGCCAGCGCTGAACATGCAGATTTAGAACATGCCTTTTAGAAGTCGGGGGAATCGAGGTTGTAAAGGGATGTGCATGAGATCAACCAATATTTCATCTGCATTTGGTGTGATATGGAGTTATTTCTCGCGTTCCCATAATTCAATAAAGGAGGCTTAAGTGGACGCTGCTTCACTTCACGAATGCTCGACAACAAAATTTTGTGGATATACTTTAAGTTCTCTTCCAAAGAGACCTTGCATCATTTTCGGTTATTACGAAATTTGTAAGTTTTATTGGAACCAGCCGACCATGCAAGAGATATTGATCTATAGTGCAAAAACTTAATATGTCATAACAAAGCCAGCAAGTCCCACTTAAGAACCGAGATAAGGTCTTATCTAAGCCAGTTATGACTATTATTTTCATCTACCTTATTTTCAAGCATCTTTTTCAACACAAAGTCCTCTTGGTCCATACTTAATTGCTTAGTTGGCTAAGGAATCGTGATTGAATACTGGTATTCAAATAAACTATAAAATCCAGATTAACACCTATGCTGTATTCCTCCGCATGTATTTACTCAATAGTACAAAATATAGTATGTATATATGCTCCCAATTAATCAAAACATTCTTTCACTATGCAGGTATATTACCTGTTTATTGGATAAATATCTTTCCTATCATCATTGCAAATCTCAAACATACTGGAGACTTTAATTTTGATATATTATAGAAAGAAGATTTCATATTTCAGAAACTGTACTCGCATGGAGATATTGTTGTCAATTTTAAACGCTAGGTTATATAGCCGTTTTCTGTTGACGATGTTCCTCAGCCCAGACCTATAACTGCGTTCGCCTGAAATACCAACCCGCAAAATCCTCAGGACGGTGGTGAATCAATGGATTCACCACTTCCCTAGAACTTGCCATTGTTCCTTTCACTCAGTCCTAGGGGATTACCCATCACGCACCTAGCTTCATACTCGCAACACATGCAGGCCCAACACAACTGTTGCTCTTATGCATTTGAAGCGACTAGAAGACGCAAGACACCTTGCGATAAGGTCTTCACCAAACACCTTTGAAGATCGCTTTACCCAAACAATCGTAGGCGTTGCAATTAACCTTTAAAACTTTGTTTTCCTTTTTTTCTTGAGAAGAGAATCACGTAGTGCAATCTAAACCGGGGAAAAGTGGTAAGAAGTCTGCGAAGTCTGTGTTCAAATAGGACAAAGCATTGTTTCTGATTGGCCATTGCAGACAGTTGGTTCCTACACGATTGTTTGCAAACAACATCACAGCAGATTTTTTATATAAAAGTGCATATAGGAACGATACAATTAACGATTACCATGCATTCGTACCTGTTTATCCCGAAAAGAACGTTTATTTTTCCCCTTCACTTTGTGCTTCACCATCATATACGCTTTCGTTTTCCTCTTTTCCTACAGGAGAATTACAATGACATGTAGAATTACGCATAAAGCTGCATGTAAACACGCAAGAGAGACAGACATACAGGTGCTTTGCTCATTCCATTCCATAACCATCCTATTTAGTAACCACTTGTTTTATAACGCAACAAAGCGATGTTGATCGTTAGTTAGTACCTTGTTAGTAGTGCTAGTAAATTCGTTGCATCTGTTTTTCTGAAATGTACGTTTTATGTCACCTCGACCAGCCTAGAAAGAGAGATACGGTAATATTAGATAATATCTGACAGGCTCGCCTTATCATAGTTCGTATTTGTCGGCCTGTCGTTAAGGTCTGGGATACAGTTTGAATAAATGGTATATCCCACCCAAGATGGCGGTGTACAATTTCACAACAAAATTACGCAATGATGTAAGACACAGCCGCTGCAGGTAAATGATATAAATACATTCATACAGTTATATTGCAACACCACCTTTGCTGACGCCAAACGTTCTTCTTTACTGCTTCTTCGTTTCTTGCCATAAATTTGTTCAATATCATCTACTGACAATAAATCTTTCCTACAGAATAGAAGAGACGGGGTTGATTCATCTGGTCTATATGTGCAGGCTCTCTTGAGGTCTGTTTCTTCCAGTTTTACCTCATACCATCAACTCATTCCAAGAAAACACACGAAGACATATGCTTCACGTGTTATTTCGGCATCCAGGCCTGGAAATCGTGACCTATCATAACGAATTTCTAGACCATAAACCAGCTACGGTATAGCTAAGCTGTGTTGGAATGATTGGAATATTACCTTTCCGATGGTTCTTTGTTTTCTTCTTCGCGTTTTCGTTTCTTCCCGGCCTTGGGATTGACTTGCTGAACTATCTTTGTCAGTCGTATTTTCTTAAAATCTTCATTGGTGAAGATCTAAATTAAACAAGGTATGCATGCATATATCACCTTCCTATGCCAATGTGCATACGATCTCCAATATATATAGTATTACGTACATACGACCACTATACAACAACGTGAAATACAGTAGTGTGTTTCATATGTGATTATAAACCACTGACTGGTATATTTGGTACATTAGTTCGTCTAATTTATCCACATAAACTAATACACATGTAGGTTTACAAGTGTTTAACCAAATCAATACTAACTTTGGTTTGACTAATTCTGGAAGCCTTAATTTCCACGTCTTCTTCACTCGGGTCTGATCCAGCGATATCTTCAGGAACCTATAAAAGAAAAAATCATTATTCATATTTTTAATATTCTATCAATAGAAATTTCAGACAATATGGCGGAATCGTCTTACTATTAAGGTAAAGAGAACGTTGTTTTTTATTAAAAATATTGGCTATTAGAGTTACACTTCTCAATATCCGTGGATATTGGATATTAATTGTAAAACGACATCACGAGAGAAGCGGAAAACTGCATAGTCTAACCAACACACACCTTATTTTCTTCTGGTTGGTCAATGACGTCATCATCCTCACTGTCAGTCATGTCATCGCTCCACTGTTCATCACTCTCTTCATTCTCATTATTCATCACTAGAACAACGTAGGGTTTTTTAGATACAATACAGTACATCTGATGATATGTGGTATTCACAGTGCATTTGATAGTTTACCAATCAGTCAGGAAAACTATGAGAAATTGGCAAAACATTAATCTATCATTTAATGCTAAGCTCTTTACATATTCATCATGGTCAAGATTTAGAAAATAGAACCTCTTTTATAGTTATAACAGAGATACTCATTCTCATGCAATGTCTCTTATGATCACCTTTCCCATCAGTTGTTTCACCGTTTTCTTTTTCTGTATTGACGTCCAGGAACTACGAATGCAACAAACACGCAGAAAATAAATTAAGCAAAAAATAGTGAAGTGAAGCAGAGAAAGGCTGTAAGTAATAATAAGATAGAGCAACAGTGGACGATTAGATAAAATGGATTATTAAGACCCAGGATTATATCAGACCAGTGGAGAGGAAATAAGTTAAGATTTAATAATCATTGGAGGGATTAAGTCCTATAGGAAAATAAGATAAACTACCTGTGCGCCTGGAACATAATCTTTAGACAACATTTCACCATATTCACTGGGCCGAACATTTTTCTCCTCAGCAGTCATTTGACCCTAATCAAAACAATAAATAGAAGGGAATTATGACTTTTTATTAAAAATAATTCGTTTACCACACACAGATATACATACAAGTTTCAATAAATAATATATAAATTAAACGAACCCTATCTTTCTTGTGAAGAAGAGCAGGATTAAGAGTACGAAATTGCTGAATCAACGACCTGGATGCATTGAAAACACCTAAAAAACGAAGAACATAATTCTTGCAATTAAACAGAATAGCATACGCGGTTGGGAGTTTGAACATAAAACCAGTATCTCATATAACGTGAGCGATCGAACTTTGTTACAAAAATAGGAAGCTCATTTCTTCTAAGAATTAAAATGTTTTCTCTTTTTGCTACTCACTTTTATTCTTTGATTTTTTGTACGCAGCCAGATCTCTAAGAAGTTCTTCAGACATAACAAGTGGACAGCGGTTACATACCTCCTTAACAGCGTTGATACTATATATAAGAATGATCAAAGTACAAATTAATCTTATGGTACAGTAATATCATATCTCATACACTGACTATAGCTTAGAAATTTTACTGCATGTAACTTCTTTTTATTACGATGGAGAATAAACCAAGTGACTCGCTTCTCTGACTGAATTATATTACACTGTCTGGGCCCTGGTGGTGATTCTAATTTCTGTTGCTATTAGATAATTTTCGATTTACTATCTTTGTAGATCAACTTAACAATAAAATTAAATATTCTACATACCCCACAGCAATAACCTCACTGGAATTTCGTTCTGTTACAAAATTATTAACAATCGCTCTTAACCCTGGTTCAACTACCTACAAACAGAAAATCTTGATCACGTTGTCACATTGTTGATCATACCAAGAAACTGACGTGTGGTTTAAAATCTACACAACTTCAAGATCTGCTGCTAAATCTTCTAAAATTAGCGAAAGTTCATTATTCACCTCAGGCGGAACCAATTCATGACAGGCTTGAGCATAAAACGTTAACATTTTCGTCACTTCTGCGAAATATTAATGACGAACTAATTAGTTGAGGGCGATGAATGTACGTACTAGTACACACGGGGAAATCGTTCACCAACATATGTAAACGTAAATATGAACCACCAGACACATGTCAATCTTTATTTATCTACACACACGAGGGGGGTTATTTACATGAAGTATTTTCAACGTCGTACTGAAAACAAACCACTGACCTTTTTGATGAGGTTGAAGGTATTTTTGAAGAAATGGATAAAAGTTGAAAAGAAACAACTAAAAAATATAACGAAATTTTAATGTTAATGGTTGTTGTGGTCACAGCAGAAATAACTATAAAGGCTAAAATAATAAAAATGTTTATTTTATACACAATGCACAATTTCTAATACCTGATGAACACCAATTAAACGAGCTAACACATCCATCATCATCAGACGAACTTCAAATCTTTCATTTGAAGATTCTAATTTCTTAAATAACTTTTCACTAAACCCTAAAATAAAGAAATGGAGGTTATATGAGATCTTTGAATAGCGACTACAGCGGTGCGCAAGTAAAGCAAGATAAAGCAAAATCTTAGCAAATTTATTCATCATTGGTACATAAGAATTTTAACAACAACCAGCAAGCGACCTTCGATATGTATTTAGCTACCTTGGGAATCATTTATAAGATATAACGCGGAGAACGTGGTCGACTTCAAATCTTTCTTCTTTTTCTAAAATAACATCAAGAAATTCATTAAAATATATTACCCAGGAAATAACGAACAGAAACATGCTAATCAAGGATTGTGTATTTCAAGAAAGAATTTTCACTCGGACGTATTCCGTTGTGTCTTATGTGCAATAAACTATACCTTGGCTTTGGTCAAAGCTTTCTTTAATTTATTTTCTCCTTTCTTTGTTTTCTTCCGCACACGATTAGCAAGTAAAAGTTGCTTTACTGTTGGGCCATCATCCTGAGAAATTTACATTATACATTATCACAACGCTGGATATATTTTATTAGAATACTATGTAGATGCAGTACTGCTGTCGTTTCGTCCTGACAAATATGATAGCAAGTCATAACTCATAACTGCTACTGCTAATATAGTCACATAATCCATTTGTGAACCAGGTGTTCGGGTTTATAATTGTAAACAATTCTAAAATATTTTCCTTCACGAAAATCAATGTACCGGTACCTCGCTTTCGCTATCTGAATCCCCGTCATTTTCATCTTTATCGAGCAAAAATTTCAAAGCTGTTACAGAAATCTAAAAAGCAAATAATTTGATAATAGTGCTTTGATAGTAAGTGGTGGTAACGTATACGCCTGACAGTATTGTACCCTGCATGACAGTAATGTACCCTGCATTTGACAGTAATGTACCCTGCATGACAGTAATGTACCCTGCATTTGACAGTAATGTACCCTGCATGACAGTAATGTACCCTGCATTTGACAGTAATGTACCCTGCATGACAGTAATGTACCCTGCATTTGACAGTAATGTACCCTGCATGACAGTAATGTACCCTGCATTTGACAGTATTGTACCCTGCATGACAGTAATGTACCCTGCATTTGACAGTAATGTACCCTGCATGACAGTAATGTACCCTGCATTTGACAGTAATGTACCCTGCATGACAGTAATGTACCCTGACAGTAATGTACCCTGCATTTGACAGTAATGTACCCTGCATGACAGTAATGTACCCTGCATGACAGTAATGTACCCTGCATTTGACAGTAATGTACCCTGCATGACAGTAATGTACCCTGCATTTGACAGTAATGTACCCTGCATTTGACAGTAATGTACCCTGCATTTGACAGTAATGTACCCTGCATTTGACAGTAATGTACCCTGCATTTGACAGTAATGTACCCTGCATGACAGTAATGTACCCTGACAGTAATGTACCCTGACAGTAATGTACTTGTACCTTGCTTAGATCAGACAAACAAGCAGATGCAACAACATTAACAGTTTTTGCGTCTTTCCAGATGTTCTTCTTGTAGAGTTCAACCATAACATCAAGAGACTTCTTTGCTGCCACTAAATTGCTATCGTTTAACATTGTGTACATGAAATTTTGTAGTGTCTAAAATCATGAAACAAAAAGTCTTTACTGCCAGCTCTCCTACTATGTTATCGCTAAAGCTAAACAATTTCTCCAAGAAATTTGTTCAGCAACCTAATGCCTGCGAAACGAACTTCTGCTTCCTGCATGTCCATGTTCCTTTCTTCTAAAAATCTTAACATTTGTTGTGTTCTTATTTTTTGTATACTTACACTGTTAACTTTGTTGTTCTTATGTTTTGCATTAACATTCCGAATGTCCGTGACAATATGAGAGTATAGTGTCTAAATAAATATAAAAATCAACCACTTTCAGGTTAAGTCCAAAGCAATGCAGCCTGCAATGTCGTTCATAGGAGAAATAAATACTTACCTTTCTTAATAATTTATCTTTACAACGAAAAAGCAAGAAAAATAGCTCTAATAAACTATAGAAATAAATTAGTTATTACCACAGAAAATATTTAAACATTGATATTGATATTTTTGTTTTCAACTATTATAAAAAATGCACTAAAAAATTCAATGAATGATACGATGAAAAACTATCAGCTGTAGAAACTAACCTTGTAGGTGAAAGCAGTCCTTTATTTCGGAGTAAAATTAAACTTCGACACAGAACCTAAAAGTGGATTCAAATAACACAAGTATAGCAACGCAATTAATAGCGAGTTGCTTCATTTCAAAATTTTCATTCCATAGACTGGAGGTTACTCAAACACAGAAAAATATTTGTTGTATGATCAGTGAAAAAGTCACATTAAAACTAAAATTTGGACTTTGCATTGCATTCACTTCATTTAAAAAAGGCCAAAATCTGCTAATATTACAACAACGTTTATGAGCTTTCTACTGTATCCTGCACATGATTACTACATAATAAATACACACCATACGTAGTTCTGGATTCATGACCATGTAGTGCCGTTGCAAAATATTTTTCAATTCTTGTGGAAATTGTTCCAGATGATTGGGATAACAGTGGGCAACCTGCAGTTAAACAGATTGGAAAAGTAATTTGCTAATAAAGAACAGACCCAGGCTTTTCAAAGTAAAATTCAATTATTGAATGAGGTTGAACATGATATGAAGAATTATCAAGCCGAAGTTTGTGGTTATGAACCAAAGCCGAAGGTTGAGGTTGATAATGACAAACTAAGGTTCGATAATTCTTCATATTATGTGATTACCGAACTCGATAATTGTTTTATTATATATTTAAAAGAATGAACATTATAATTTTGAATTGTTCGCTCAAATTTGTGTCGATTTCACATTCCTCCTCTGAGATGTTGATGTCTTCGCCATTGGTATGACGTAAAATGTGGGATATGACTATTTATCACATGTTTAAAAGTTGTATCACAGGTTAATGAGGTTATGACGTCACACATTGGACATGACAATACTGATTAATTTTAACTTATTTCCGTTTTCATCTCATGACACAGTTAAAGTGATCGCTATACCCCATGATAAGGGTAAAGTGTGATACAGGGAGAATGTGAGCACCATGATACGGGAAGAGTGTGTAGCTGTAACCCATGATACGGGGAGAGTGTGTAGCTATGCACCATGATATGTGAGAGTGTGTACAGCTATGCACCATGAATCCATGATACAAGGAGAGTGTGTAGCTATAACCTATGATATGGGGAGAGTGTGTAGCTATAACCCATGATATGGGGAGAGTGTGTAGCTATAACCCATGATATGGGGAGAGTGTGTAGCTATAACCCATGATATTTAGCTACACCCCAAATACCGGGAGAGTGTGTGTTGCAGATGATTTCTTGTTTGACAAAGTCATCTTTGAATATAAAGCAGCACAGCTGAGATTTCCTTAAAAAAAGTGAGATTCCTTTGCAATTTTGTAGATTAAGATCATGAATGCTTGACAATTTTCATCAGGAGCACTTATGGCTCAAAAAGGCTCATGTAACCACAATCTCTGGATCTCTAACTGTATGTCTGCATTGTTAAATGTTTAATATGTCTGACCTCAATGTGAGTATTTAACTGATAAACTGTTACTTTTATAATTCACACATGTTGATGTCTCACAAGAAGTGGTTCAGGCCACTCTTTGTTAATGACGCCCCAAGGGCTATATTGACTTATTCACACAATAGTGGAGAAATTCACAGATTTTTCTATTCATAGCTTTCTTTATACCAACAAACATAATTTTTTTCTACTTTGCCTGTGGCACAAAAAACAGCAAATGTCTTTGTCCATCTTCAAAACAAATATCTGGTTGATTACCTGACTTAAGAACATGACAAGGTCTTGAAATACTTCATTAGATAGCGATGGATTGATTTGGAATATTTCTAGGTTCGACTGATAATGCCGGTACTGTTGGAGAAACTAAAAGAAATGAAATAAAAGTATTAATCTCAAAACTACCAATCTAAGGGACTAATGTTCGTGTTACTATATGGTATATCTCTCACGAAAACCCTTATAGTTGAAAAATGAAAATGAAAAATAATTAATAGCAGTGTCATTTTTGCAAACATTTGTACTAAAAATGTGCACTAATCTAGTCAATGACCAGCAGTGAAGGCCATGCATACATAGCATAAATTGAACCATGATTGCTGTGGTAATAAAGTTCCAATCCACTTTAAGACTTGAAAATAATGATAATAAATCAAAAGGCAGATTTTCAATTACTATCGATTACAACAGCATCAGATTCCCAGGGGGCATAATGCATTGAGTAAAGTGAGTGAGGACTGCGAAGTGAATGAAGAAGACTGCGAAGTGAGTGAACTTACTTCTTCATGGTAGGACTCTGGATCTCTTTTGATAACATTTTGAAGCTGAGGAAGATTATTCGGCAGTTGATTTCTGTTTCGATTGCTCATAGCTTAACTGAGTGAAACTCGCTTCAATAGAGTGTAACGCGACTGAATAGAATCACATTTATAGAATTTGTTTCGTAAAATTGAAAACTAAAAATTATCCGCCATATTGATTCACACGCGCCGGAAACTGGATTCCACACACTGAGCTATAACCAATACTGGAGCCAGGCCCTGAAGAAAAAAAATGCTGCTAAAAAATTGGCCGAGAAATTACCTATATCTGTGTAACAAGTCACTCTTGCTTCCTTTATATCGGTTCGTGTTGTAAATTGCAAACATTTACTTTGTTACAACAATTCTTAATAAAAGACAATATTAAAAGGGCGGTTATGCGCCGTTAACATTGGAAAACATTTGGTGCTAGGCCTCTCGCGCGTGTTTCATCCGGTGACGTCACGGATTTTTAATACACGCAACTAGGCTGCAAATATTCATTCACCCTCGGGGAATAAACGTCAATAAAAATCAAGAGGAAAGAAATTTGTGAGCTGGGGTCATAATGACAATTTTTCAGGCCCAGTTTAACATGGGTTGCACCTTGGCAATGCTGAGCGATGTTTTCGACGATGGGGATGCTGAAACGATTTTATAGAGCTTATCAAAAACGTAATTATTTCAGAGCTCTTTTGAAGTCATAATTTATTTACACTAATTCTTCGCCAACAATTATGTCTTATGAGTGCGGGTCAAGCAGTAATGACTGTGACTGAGGATGCGAGGCAGACAGTTATTAAAAAAGTGAATAGGATTCAGGATGACAATCAGGAAGAAAAAGAAAAATGCTTTACACCCAGTATTTTTGTTTTTGCTGTTTTTGTGTATATGATTCTAAAGAAATTCTAAAGAAAACAGCCACAGTCTAATGATTTAAATTGAAAACACCCTCTGTATTCAGTATTCTCCTAATTTAGACTCCGTTGTTAAAATAAGCCCAGAGCCAGAGGGCAATACTCATTTACATCGACTCAATCACTTAATTTAAAGTTTCAGTATTTTCAAATTAAAGTTCATTTTAGCTCATTTGAGCTCAAATTAAAGTTCATTTTTTCGAACTGTTGGATTTAGATTTTTTGAATATCATAAAAACATGCTGTTTGCTGTTTGCTGTTTGTTGATGTTATTAACGCTATTTTCATCACATTATAATTTTATCATTGTTGATTCGATGCTTAAGCGTATATTTGCAGAGAAATATCAGCCTACATTACGAATAACTAATCAGTACACCTCCCTCTCTCAATAAAGACCCCCCTCACAGGCCTCTCTTATACTGATTCTCCTCAAAATGGCCTATGAAGAAAAAGCCCAGACGGCCTAAATAGATCGAGAGAATCACGGCAATTATATGACGAGAATTTCTCACGGTATATGCTTCAAGACTGGTTTAAATCAATCATCTGCATTGTATGTGAATGCAACAAAACATTAGCTCGAAAAATTCAAGATTACTGATGGAACAAAATTTTTGCTCCAAAAAATTTTTCGTAGTTCCGATAGTTTTAAGATTCTTAATCTATAAATCGCCATTCGGGTGTTCGATCTGTTTATACTGTTTGCTGATTAAAAATAACATATGACTTGCAAGAATCAGCTCAAGAACTCATCTCAAATCACACATGTTTGCGAGGAGAAAGATGTGACGCAAATTGGCTCATTTTTGACATGTGTGAGAAATATAGAATCTGATAAGAATATCATGGTTTTCAATTAGACATTCATCACTTTAAACTATGTAAACGTGGTTGGCATGTCACAAATTGAGTTTTGAAACCACAAATTCGTAGAACATAAAATTTCCGCTCTATTTTCCCATATTATTGTATCTGATCCCGCAGTGTACCGTGCAAGCATAACAAGTTACAAAGTTTTTAACCGTCGAAACATCCCGCGGCAAACTACACTTGAATTTGCAGTAAAACGTGGTAAAGTTGAATTATTTAAAAAAGAATCAGATACAGGCTTTAGGCTTATTAATAAAACGGTTAAAACCAATAAAGTTATCAGTTCTTTTATAAAAAGCGTATAATTAATACTTTCTCATATTTTAGCCACGCGTTTTGCCGTAGGAGTTGCCGGGTCGATATAAATTATTCTGTTTAGGAAAGTTCAAAAACAGATGGGGCTAAAGTTCTTCTTATCTATGAACACCTGTTTCAAGCACTATTTCGGACACAATAAAATATTAAAAGCAACTTTTGCTACTGTATATGACAGGAATAGCGTAAAAAAGCCACTGAACTTAATTATTTTCATACAACTTCGTATTTGTATGATATTCCAAGTTATAGACAGAGGTATACTAAAAGGCAGCAATTAATTCATGTAACTGAAAATCCACTAAGAAAAATTTACAAATAAACTTATAATTAAGAGCTGAAAATGCGAAAAAGATCAAGATACGCCTACACTATGCAGTTAATATTTAACATGCCAACGGCAACGTATAGTCTTATACTTAAAGATTTTACACTAATGATCCGCCTTGATATGACTTGATATTTTCATTCCTGTAAAGAATAGCATCGTTGACTTTGTATCTTAAAATGCAACAGTTTATGTATTAAATGTTGATATCACCTAAAAAAAAGTCATTTCACGCGTCATATTTAGCAGCTAATTGTATGTTTTAAACGTCCTTCTTAAACTATAGGGCTAGATAACATTCAAGAATGCTTTATCATCCTTGCTTGCTTGAATAAAACCACAAAGTCTCAATTATTAACAGCTGGTTTCTGTAGCGGATTATGATTAGCGGCTTGGTAAATACAATTACTCATTATTGTGGCTATAAAAATAGAAGGGTTTTGTTTGAATTTTTAGGGTCAGTTAGCTTGTTTAGAAAGACAAGAAAAGAACTAGTAATTCAAGTGGGAGTCAACGAGCAAAAGCCAGCAAGACCAAGGACAAGAATGTGAGTGTAATACATATCACATGATTTTATATAGTGTAATGTATGATCTGAAAAGTGAACTGGAAATCACATATATGCTGACGTTTTCTTCTCCATGAGGATTTGCCACAGCCGCAAGTAATTACTTGTCAATTTTTTTTTTCGAAAAAAATGAAAATGTCAATGAACCTCGATCGACCATCGACAAGGCATATAATAGCTAATAACTGAAGCAGACTACCTAATCTAATATATTTGTTTCCGACAGGTTGAACTATTATATATAGGTGTCCACCAGGCTCCATCAGGCATTGCATAGTTATATATCAATTAAAATCCTATTCATGTGCCCAATTATCTTGATTCTAAATTTAAGAATAATAATTCAACTTTTTCATTTAGAATGGCGACTTCAAAAGCCTCTCAAGTTGTTTTACTCATACTCGTGGTCGTATGCATGAACGCATGCGCAGTGGAACTGACAAAGAGAATGAGCTGTTGGCACCAATGCTACGCTGACTACGCACCTTGTTTTAATACATGTTCGAGCACTTCTCTATCTTGCAATAATTGTGTAGATGGCCGAAACTCTTGTTTCAATAGTTGCCCGTCAGGAAAAAGAAGTAAAATTATTTTTCAAGATAATTCTTTTGATTTGTACTGAGACAATGTTCAATGATCATTCATAAAAATAATTATTTTTTATGTTAGTGAGACAAGAATGAGTGACTTATAAGAGTGCATATCTTACTCTTATTATGAGAGTGCGTTACTTGTAGCTAGTTTTCAAACTCTCAATACGTTAAATAACTGTGATTAAATAAAATCTTCAATCTGACATAATTGTGTTTTAAGGTCTTGAAAGTTTTGAGAGACAAATAAATCGCCCATTTATTTTAATTTGCCTGAAAAATCATATTCACGTCTGCGAAAATAGTTTATGTCCGATCGCAAAGGGGACATTAACCTTTTGTCGGAATTAGAATGCATTATTTCTATGCTATTGTTTCGTTTTTTAATTCTATATACCTCAGAATTTATATTGCATCATAGTAAGAATGTTGGGGATAAAAGAATTTCAACAAAAGTTTTGGTTCATTTCAGTGTCCACAACATAGTGTGGTTCATTTCAGTGTCCCTTGCTCGAATATTTGTACCAAGTGATGGTAGATTATTCGTCATTTGCCATATTTACATTATCAAGGTCAGAGCCTGGCCTACAGGCCTAGATTTTCTTACCTACAACATACTTTTGCATGGCCAGGGCCTAGTCAAAATCAATCTCACACGAAAAGCAACGTGATTGACTTCTTCCCAATGTTTTCCATGGTAACGCTCTTAGGAGTACCTTTGAAACATTGATTCAAATTTCTGATTGATTTTTCGTTGCTGTTTTGCCCTGTCAATTAGCGAACTGTCGTCACCTGGCACTGGGTGCCACTATGCCATTCAGACCTTGGGATTTTTAGTTGCTAATAATTGAATAAGAAAAGATTACTGCTAATTCATCCACCATTTCGTTTATGCGCAATGTGTTTGACTAAATAAATTTTTTAACAGGAAATGGGCAATGGCTAAGCGTTAGCACGACGACTATGAATATAACATCTAGGCTTTAAGTGCTTTTAGGCTCATAATAAATTGATCGTCTTACTCGTTTTTGTAAATTTTGTGAATAAAATGACTGTTTTCACAACAATAAAGAAGACAATGTCTTTCTTATCGTTTGCGTGTTCGCAGATATTTTTGCTGAATATAATAATATGTGCGGCATATTGTGACGCATTCAACCCTCATAACTGAATATATATATATATATACATATGTGGTCGAGAGAACTGAATAATCCGTAAAGCATAAATTAAAACACGATAAAATCACGAAGCAACGTTAACTTATAGATTTTCATCCAATTTATACAAGGAGCTTATTTTTGCAAACCGTACATAGAAACGATTTTAAAATGAACCGTTAATATACTTGAAGTATTGTTGATATGTGGTAATTAGAAAAACATTAAGTAAGGTAATTGCATAAATTTTTAAACTTCTCCTAAACTCTGCAAGATAACATTCAAGCCTGCTTATTATCTCATCTAACACTTTGCCATAATGTAGCTAAAGATGACTCCATTAGCATGAACAGCTGGGCTCTGTAGTAAACTCTAATTAGTGTGTAAACAAGAGGCTTAGTGCGGGTATAAATACGAGTGGCACATTCAGTATGTTGCAGGAAACATATTGAGTAAGTTACAAGGTTTGTCTTAACTGTGAAAGAATTGTGAAAAAACAACGAATATAGGTAAGAATAAGCATACAAGTCATTCCAGAATTATTTATTTATAATTACAAATGCCGTTTAACAGTATGAACCTAAGGAGAACATGAACAAGAGAAAGATGTGATTTTATCTGAAAATTTTTGTCGCCGTATATTTATTGTTCGTTTTACTTTTTCATTTAGAATGTCAAACTCAAAGACCAACCAGATCGCGTTTCTAATACTCGTGATCCTTTGTATGAACGCATGCGCAGTGCAACTGAAGAAGAGAACTGGCTGTTTACTTAACTGCGTAGCACAGTGGGCTCCTTGCTTTCAAACCTGCATGAGCAATTCTTTCCCGTGCACGACATGTGTTGACGGTAGAAGTGCATGTTTTGACAATTGCATTACGGCCAAAAAGCGGGGAATTCCATCTGAGTATCGGCGCTTTTTTGATTACAACGAAGACGATATTACTCAATAAACATTAAAATATAAACTAGATTTAATATTGTGTTAAAATTACTTAAACAACTGAAGAATTGTTCCGCAAGAAATAGCAAATGTAAAATATAGTAAATAAATTATGTAATTCTATTTTTGTGACTGCGTTTCGCCGTGGAGAGTAAATAACAATATATTACTTATTTAAAAAAATTTGAACCTTCGATTGGCTTAGTTTGATACGGATGGTTATGACGTGTAGCGTGGTGTATGATTGTGGTTGATATCCTGATATCCTCTGCAAAGGAAATTAAGGAGGACAAAACGAAAGAATTTGTAATAAGAAGAATAATCAAGGTTTGTGTTATCTGCCTGAGCAAAGCCGAAAATTTCGAGGAGAATGATGCAAACCTCAATCGCGATGACTCAAAATTTTTTTATTTCATATCCAGTGTTATCCAATGTTGTAAACGGTGTCCTTCAGCTGTGAACTTCCATTTTCATATGGCATGTGAATTGTTGGGTCCGGGGGCATAATTTACAAAGCTAGCAGTATTTTGTGATTTCATGCAGATCGACCATAATTCCTTGGCAAAATTGGTTTCGAAACGTTCAAGTAAGCCAACTAAAATGACTTACTCGTTCTTGTGTATATCTTTTATAAACAATTGTTTGCATGTATCCTAGCGGTTGTATAATAATTGAAGTGAGAGAAAATGAAGATCTGGAAAAAATATATCATTCTTTCATTTCAGTCACAGACAATTATTGCTATTGTTTCATATATTATCGTTTATACATATTATTGTCCAGCACCCTTCAGTTGTTGGTGTATTATTGAGAATCGCACTCAAACTGGCTTGTTTAACAGGAAAGCTAAACGCATTTGCTAATCATTTGTTCTTCTGACTTGGGTCGGTATTTTGCACATATAAACAACCTATATCTTTGTTATCTAAATGCAATATTAATTTAGAAAGACTGCTACAGTTCCATGCAAGAAAAGCATTAAAGCACTTTTCCTTCTGAGTTGATTCTCTTCAATTCTATAGTCAACATCTTAACTTTTGCTGCTGGAAATTTTTGTTCACACCAGGAATGTGACGTCATAGTTGACTCGAGTGTAGCGCAGTAAAGCATCAATTGTAAGATTAGTAACATTTTCCTACTAGTTATTAAGACGTGCATGTTTTACTCAGCAGTTGCCTTAGGGATGACGATGTTCAGTCAGCGCACTCATCCAAAAGCGTACTACCATTTAAATGATTTATGTGAATGCATTACGTCATTGATTTCGCTAGGCAATGAGATGTTTGTATTGATGAATAACAATACGTCACTTTGGTTACCACTGCGCGTAATTTTCACCGTATTTTAAACTCTATCTTGAGAATTGTCTACAGCATCATCGGATAGATCAACTAATATTACTGATGAAGGTGACGGTGCAATTGTTCCATAACCATGTGTTTGATTTTTTACTGACGATACTATTTGACTCAAAGGACGTTTACGCAACACTCCCATTGATTTGGGGTTTCTTTCTAGTAACTACAAAAGAAAAGATTTCTATAAATATTCAGGAATGTTTTTCCTTCTGTAATTAAAATATTTTTATTAAATGTAAATAAAATAACGTCATGTTCGACTGTGTACATGTTCCTTATGTCTATCAGCCATGCATGCAGCTTGTCTACATGCCCGGAAGTACGTCCACCTGCTTGTTCGCTAGTCCGGCTGCTTGACTACCAAGTACCAACCAGCCTGTCTGTCTGTCAGGACAGTGTGACTTTCGAAAGCCTGCCTATCCCCCTGCCAGCCTGCTCATGACATCCCAATAGCCACCTGTCAGCCTGCCTGTCTAGTTCATCTATATTCTTGTCCGACTACCTGTTCTTCTGTATGTTTTTCGTCTGCATGGCTTGTGTACTGTTCGTTCCTCGACTTTATTGCCTGTGCGCATGTCCTCTATGCTCCGTGAGTGTCGTATTGTACTGTATTCTGTATTCAGACTACTTCTATATGTCCTTCGTTTTGGGTGCCGAAGTTCGTCCGCAGCCTTTACTGTCTGTCGTGTCGTGTCGTGTCGTATAGTATTCTGACTACTTGTCCTTCTGAATGTCAATTTGTATTGTTTCTGTAATGCATGTCTACTCGCATGTCATTCTGTTTTCGTTTGTCAGCATTTTCCCGTATCTTTTCCAGACACTTTTACACTCTCCCCTCCCCTTGCCGTTTGTATGTCACACTCCCCCCTCTCCTTGCCAACCTATAAGATAATTCAGTTATACAAGATATAGGTATTACTTAATCTTAAAAACATTGATTCTTAGCTATAAAATGATACTAAAAAATACCAATCTGTTATACCAATGCAGTGCTTTATTATTTTTCTAAAAAATCATTTACAAATTGTTTAAATCAATTTCTTGCTCAATATTAAACTATTTAGAATTAAAATCTTTAGAAACGTTCTTAAAAAACTTAACCATATTTACAATTAAGGTTTAACTTTTTAAAAATCGATTATATTTTTAAAGTTTCTTCAATTACTCGCACTTCACTGTTATTTAATCTTGACTCTTAAAATTGTTCGGTTGTCGAAAGAACTTCACTCGGCTAGTAATCTGCTTTCACACTTTGAGAATAAAAGAGAGGTTTTACACTTTGTGCAATAAATGCGAACTTGCTGTTGTTTGTTTGAACACGCATTATTTGTTCGTTGAACACGCATTATTTGTTCGTTGAACACGCATTATTTGTTCGTTGAACACGCATTATTTGTTCGTTGAACACGCATTATTTGTCCATCATCGCGTCATTGGTAGGCTTCCGTTAAAGTCCGCACCACCTCTAATTATACTCTGATATAAATCTGTAAATCTTTGTGACTTAGGGTATTTTTATATTTTGATAACATTGCTGTATATCGTAAATCGTCATGCGTATTTATGAACTTTGCTTGAATGAAGTTACTAGGTTTTAATTGGGCTAGGACTAACAGTTGCTCCTCGTCGTTTTTGTGCTTCCACTTTCATATCATCATCAACACTGTTGTATTCCTCAACTTCAACATCACCGTCGGTGACAGTTGTACTTCCTTCACTACGAGCACTCATCCAACTTCGTTTACTTTTATGTAATACGAACTCAAGCCCTTCACCATTTGTTTTATATGACTCCTATACAACGTAATGTTTCAATATTTTTTTCACTTTATTTATGCATGGCTATAAGCCGAATATAGCCTCTTCTTGCTGTTAGTGATAACCACGTCAATATTTTATTATTCCTTTTAGATTATTCAATATAAATCAATTAGTCGTTATCTTGATTTTATCATCAATGATGTTATATTGTCTAGTCTCTAGTATTTCAAAATCTTTAATTGAAAACGCGTTTCTGAACATTCACTAAAACTTCAATTGGCTTTAGTCTAAACAATGTTTCCACCTAGCAATCATCACACTGTTAATTGACCTAACTCTACAAAGGAGACACTACAGAATTGATGATTTGTTCATTCTATTGTATGTTTTCACGACCATCAGAGAGAAAAGTAATTTTTGTTCAATTGAAGAACGGAAGAAATTAAAAATAAAGACAAAATATCTAAAGAAATATTTTATATACAAGAGCTTAAAAACATCGTTTTCAATCAACTTTAATGGATTGGCTGCAGCAAAAAATCACGCAAGTCCATGTCAAGTTAGTTTGGTAAATATAGTGGCTACAGATGTTAGTATGAGCAGAAGTGGATGTAAAAAATTCAAATAAATTATATAAGCATGCACAAATTATCGAAATAAATACCCGAAGCCAACAAATCATTAATTATACAGATAATAAAGTTTGGCAGTTTGCAAAATAGATTAGGATTCGTTGCAAAATGATTGACAAGAAATCATATCACATATATATCATGTAATCTATAGCTGCCTACGCAATTAACAACATGAGAATACTAAACTCGTATACTCAACATGAGAATATTATGCACACTAGCTCATACACAACTCGAGCTCGTGGTATATTTGTTAAATATATATGTATCTTTTAAAAAATGAATCAGCAGACTTGAAAAAATGGAAAAACGCCCTTCCAGATTAGAGAGAGTTTTTGATAAGGAATATATTATGAAAAAACATATCTTACCTGAGCCAGTTGAGTTTTCGTTCTGTAGAAGTATCTTGCTATTGTCATTATTGCCATGTCTGGCGTGACAGCGACGATTGAAAGAAGAATAAATCCAAACCAAACAGAAGGCTCTTCAAGTAATTGTTCAAATGTCCAATATAAGTCATAACTGGCTTGGCCAAATTGAAATGGCTCCCTAAATTGAAGTTGAAATTATTAATTGGGTTTTTTATGTCTTGCTTGTCTTAGACATTGAAAGGAATAAAGAATGGTTAGATTATCGTACCATAAACTGCACGATGCTATCACGGCAAAAAGAATGTATGAAATGATTGATCCCCAAATCACGATATGAGTAAGGATTGTCCAGTAGAAGGAAAACAAACCAAGCTGAAACATAAGGAGATTCTTTACGGTCGAAAAATGAGGAAGCAAAGCATAAACATTCGCTTTTAATATAACTACACTTAAATATTTGGCACGGCGGGGCGGGGCTAAGATCGCGACCAAATTAATCCGTGCTCGGCCTTTGTATATACTATGGTATATACGTATAGCCTTAACATTATGCTATAGTTTGTATGATATATAAATATATATATATAGCTGTGTAACAATCGTTACAATTTACATTGTAGTTAATTAGTCTGTAAGGTAACTGCATGTCAACAAAGTTCACAACTCGAGCATCAGCAGTCTGGACATTAAAGACATGCAGTTCTCTAGAATACATGCATGGCCGGGTGTTCCTGCAGGCTAATTTACTTATACTGTGTGATAAGTAGCACCATGCACAATGACAAGAATATTATAAAAGACAGTTGTTTACAGAAAATATAATTGCTTTACCTTCAAATTACAAACTATAACGACGATAGTGTATACAAACTGACCAAACGACCAATTTCCGAATGCCTTGAGAAAGTTGACAGAATTGTTAAAGAACAAATATTTCATTGCATGAGATCTCCGAAGTCCTAATGAACAAAAACCAACCTTATCACTAAGTATCCCTTCATCAAAAAATAAAAATGATCCAAAATATATTATCAGACCATGCCACAGTGCTGAAAAATGAAAAAGATATATAACTATATGTTTTTATCATACATATTTTCCCCTGCACGGGCAATAAAATCACAACCATACCTGACAACATCCAGAAACTAAAATCATGCCACGATAGTCGTTTGTTTCCAGAAATATCTCTATATGAAGAAAACAAATGGATAAAGAATTTAATGGCGTGTCGCCTCGAGAGGGACAGAAAACGTTTCAGACTCTATATAAGATATCATGTTGGCAGTTTTGTTAACTTTGCTTTGTTAACTTGTTACTTTATTATACCCCAGACGTTCCCCCCTATATATAGGATGTTATTGCGAAACGAAATACTACCAGCTGCAAGCTGGACTTCTTGCATAGAAAGAATGAAATCATTCTTGCAACATACTAATTCTGCCAAGCAAAGATAGAATTTAAAGTCGTACCTGTAAAGAACTGGTTGGAACGTGAGTGTGTCAGCACGCAAATGTTGTTCAAATATACCATAAAGTAGAATAGGTAACGATGTCCAACATATATTAAACGTGGTTAGAAACACACTTTGATATAATGTCTGAAACCAAAATAAGAGTCATCAGTACAATGCAACTGCATGTGGTGACCTTATACAGTACATATAGGTGAAGAGTTTTATTATGCAGGCATAATGTATAGTTATAGGTATAAACTATTAAGGTGGTCTTAATACATTTGTGAAAATAATTACAAAAATAATTTTACCTGTTGTGAATACGCGTTGTAGAATGCATAAAGATATTGTGGAATTGTGAAAACAACATTCTAAAAAAGTCACGAACGTGTTCAATATTGTAAACGAGTAACCAAAGATACAAGTTTGGGTCGAGTCTGAGGGCATGTGTACGCGGTAGTTCTGAATATTTGTATTAAAAATTAATTTACTGTATTTCCGACTGTGAATGGATTTGTCCCACTTAAGATACACCAGGAAAACTATTTTTTATTATATTCTTTTGAAATTAATAAAACGTATTAAAGTTAATTAAAATAATCATGGTATTGTAAGGAATATGAAACATTACCTTGTAAAAGAAATACTGTACAACTGTTGCCAGTCTGATATAATATAAATGACCATGAACAAGCAAGACACGACGAAGAAACTTAAATCTTGAGATGGCGTAATCACTAGTTCTCACAGCTTGTCTTCCTTCTTTTCCCATCACTCCAATACCAACATGGGCTTCCTGTATCATACTGCAGTCATTTGCTCCATCACCAATAGCGAGGGTTATTGGTTTCTCACTTGAGTGTTTCATCAGATGAACAACCTGCAGGAGTATATTAAATACATAATTTTGTGAGTGTCCGTGACACTTAAGGTCAACAACAACCTGTACATAAGGAAGAAGTGTTTGGAAACGCGTGTGCAAAATGTTAACATACCTGTGCTTTTTGTAATGGTGACATTCTGCAGCAGAGAACTGCGACACAATATTGACACACGGAGATAAATAATTCTAAAAATACAACACCAACACAGTTTCACAATTCAGATGCTATAAGATAATTGCTCTAGGTTTTCAAAACAAGTAATCATTAAGAGCCATTCATGCAGGCTGTCATTTTAGGCCTGAATATTTATGCTCCGACAATTTATGTGTTTTATCTGAAAAATGACTTGTCCACATTTTATATATCTCTAAAGAGAAGACTCACGCGTCTATAAAATCGCAACAAAGTCACGCAAGCCAAGATTTAGTATATAAATAACAATAAATATACAGACGTTATACTGACTTCTATATCAGTTGCTGGTCTACGTCATGTAATACTGAACTTATGGACACAATGTACAATAGTTTTCATACCCTTGTTACCATCAAAGGCATGGCGTAAACTTGAACCATCGATAACCAAAGCGAACTTTTTGTCTGGAGAAGAAGTAGCTTGGAGTAATCTGTAAAACGTAGTTTAGTACGTGATTAGAATAATAAGCTAGTTGACTAAATTTTCAATTTTGATGCATTTACATACTTTTCTCTGAAACTGTATAAAGATTGTTCAACATCGTACACGTTGTCTTTTCTTACGATTTCCAACACATCCATGTTAGCCTTATAATCAAAGAAATTACTTTTGTTTAATTTTGTTATTTCCTGCAGCCTGGGAGCGTGCAAATGTCAACCAGACGTAAACACACGTAATGACTATAATTATCTAACTACGAAACGGGGTAACATTTGAGCGAAAATTTATAAAAAATTCTTTGCATTCAATGAGGCAGGTACAATGAGGAAGATGTCACTAAAGGTCTTCTGGTAAAAATCGCCGACCTTGCGACTCGAGCATTAATCAGCTGAAGTCTGGTTGTTGAGCTTTAACCACAAAACCATGTATTAATAATGGAGTGATGTCAAAATAAGTTCTTTCATTGTTAATTACTATATAAAGGGGTTTTGGCATTTAGAAGAATATTTTTTCTTACTTGGACGTGTCCACATGAGTGACTGATATTCACAGCAGTTTCGTGTTTATCTCCCGTCAGTACCCAGACCTTCAAGAAGTAAAACAAAACATAATATATCACCTTGAATAGAGAAGTGAAGTCTGGGAATGAAAACGCCAATATTTAATTCACCGACGAAAGTGCTGGTTAGAAAGAAATACCAATTTAGGAATAAGACATGCGATGTAAATAAGAAAGCTTACCTTCATCCCAGCTTCTCGTAAAGCAACGATTGTCTCCTTCACTTTATCTTGAAGTCTACGATGATAACAGTTTGAAAATGATCATGAATAAAAATTCTCCAGTAATCTCTAAATCGAAGATCTTTTACCAACCTGTCTTCGATGCCAGTCGCTCCTAATAACGTCAGTCCGGATTCCACGTCTTCATAAACCTTAGCAAGCTAAAAGATGATAAAATACAGTATCATCACAGAGTAAGTCTGAACACAGAGACTGTGTGTCTGTATCCCTGCAACCACTACTCATTATAACAGTCTAGAAAGTATATAACTACGCTAAATTTATTAACATTGCACAACAGAGCTAAGATTTCTACCCGTGCCTAACTCTATTCGTGCTCAGGCTACCAATACATAGCCCGAGCACGGATGAAATTGATACGGGTTGCCATTGATACGGATACCAATAAATTTATCGTAGTTTAAACGGGGCTTATATATATTACGATCGTATATGTACCTGTTCATCTCTCTCATTTATAGCTTCACTTGCTTCTTTTAACTAAGAAAAAAACAAAAAAAAATTTTTGAAATAGGCAATAAACTAAATATTTCATGATATTTTGCCCAACCTTCGCATTCATTTCTTCATATTTCTCTTTTGGTATAACTTTCTTAGCTATTGCCAAAGTACGCAATCCTTTCTGCAAGAAACAAACATTTCCATAACCATTCACGACCTGCAACTTTTAGGGCTTGTAGTTCATATACGTCATCATTCGCTTGTTATTCTCTTTGAGATTAGTTTTTTAAATAGCCGATGGGAAATAGTCGAAAAAATATTTTCTATCTTCATGGCTAATAATCGCGTATCACGCATGATTCAAAAAATACAACACGAGAATTTTTGCTTAAGACGGATTCCTCGTAAAAAATGTTCTGCTGTGTGGCCCAGACGTATTAACATTGATACAAAACCAGATGAATCTATAGGCTTTAAACAATTATGTACACAGAAAAATGCGCGAAATTGAATGTGAAAAATACCTCAGCGTAACTATTAATATGGGCGAGTGTGACGTCAGTTGGTCCGTCAATTGTTTTTTCCAAAATTGCTGTTTCAGCACCTTTACAATACATAACTATTGTCCCTGTAAAAATATTACAATCTTAGGATGATTTACCGGTAAAAATTATATCAACTATTTGTTCAAACCCGCAACATGTTTTTGCAGGCTCTGAAGAGCTCAATGCATCATCAAAGGTGCTTTAAAATAAAATTATGGAATGTAATGAAAGAAATCTATCTCACCATCCATTTCACTGATGATAACACTCATTCTTTTCCGAGTGGAGTCAAATTCCAGGACATGAAGCAATTTATAACTAAACAGTTCATGCAAAATAAAATAAAATAGAAACAATCAAAATTACAATCGGAACCAAGCAAGCAACCAGGGACACAATTGCATGGAACCAGTCAACCAGGGGTTAACACCAGAACCAGTCAACCAGAGTTCAGTAACACTAGAACCAGTCAGTTAATCAAGGTTACAACCGGAAGCAGCCAACCAGAAATAAAACAAAAATCAATCAACCAGAGTCGCCGCCAGAACCAGCCAACTAGGATGACTACCATGCAGAACCAGTGAATCATGATTATCACCAAACCTGCCAACCAGGGTTACCACCAGAATCAGTCAACCAGGGTTACAACCGGACGAAATTAACCTGGATTCTGACGAGGACAAAATGATATGATACAATGTTTCTTACCTTTGTACTTCGTTACCAATTTTAACCTGCATGTGTTCACCTGATGTACCTTGAAACGTCAGACCATATCTAAAACATTAATAACAAAATAAGGGGCAAAAATGCAGATCAATCTCTAAAACATTGAAGGAAAAATTTAAAGACATATAGAGCAATTACCTGTGCGATGCTTCTACAAACGCTTTCTCGTCTGGCGAGGACGCCTACAAAATGTTAACAAATTAACTGCCACTACGTCTACCAATCGCTGATCTATCGTGCTCGTGATTGGTTAATTTGATATCCTTATCGCATTTGATTGGTTCATGTTCTCTCGATGGTAGCGGTCAAATTAAGTCAAATCTGAACCTCGCTCTTATCACGCATGCACCGTTTCGGTTCATCAATAATTATTGATCTTCCTCATCCTCGTTTATTAATACATAAATATTAGTGGTCAAAACATTGATGAACATGAATACACGGTTGAAACGTTAGACAAGCTTATTCACGCTATGACTGATGGTTAAATACCTGGTAAAAATATGGATACGGGGCGTCTTTATCTTCCTCTTCAGTCGCATGGACTGTATGACATAATGACAACGTCAGAAAGAACTCACGCATCTCAGGCTGGAAATATGAGAAACCATTATTATTAATTTTATTGTTTCAAAGCTACACGTACAGATATGTCAAAAAAAGAAGTTTAACTACAGCAAAATCTTCAGAGTTCTTCCAGATCCACTGTGTGAAAATCCATTAAACTAATTAAGAAAACTACTGTGTAGAACTACACTACAGAGGAAACAGAGATATTTTCATAACGTAAACATGCAAACTAAACTGTTGCAAAAGGAAACAAAATTACCGTGAAATTTGAAGATTCAAAATTACGAGAGCGTAATCCATCTGCACAAAGCAAGCCATCGAGTTCCTAGATATTCAAAATAACAGCAGATAAAGTTGTTTATTTTGGCAAAACTAGTGACCTTGATGAAAGAAGACATTGCGTGTTATTAGTTATACACATACTTCATATTTCCTGCCGTTTATGGAGCATGTTCTGAATTGCATGTCGTTTTCTGTTAATGTTCCTGTTTTGTCTGTGAAAACATACTGAATCTAGAGAGAAAAAACAACAAGAATGAATTGTTGGTAGAGCTGACAATACCAAAACAAGGTGAAAACACATAAGACTGCGTTGCACTTTACAAAGGTGACTTATTTTAAATGACCAATCTACAATTTCATTCTGAAAACAAGAAGGCTTGCGAGTATAATCCTCACCTGACCCAACTCTTCATTCAGATCAGATGTATTCGCCTTAGCTGGTTCGTCTGTTTCCTAGAGTTTAGTTTAAAAGTCAACATGTCAGGGGCCGGTTGTTCAAAAGCCGGTTAGCTTAACCCAGGCCTGGGTTAAAGCAAATTTTTACATTAATTTTTTTAATCGCTTGTTTACATAGTTGAATATCTTTTTTCATAAATATTTTCTGGACCGATAAAAGTCATGTTTTCTAACGTTTTAAAACGAGCAGTGGTTCAGAAGCACATGCACAAACTAAAGCATTGGATTAAAATTTAACCCAGGTTTAGCGCTAACCTAGCTTTGAACAACTGGCCCAGGGATTAAGAAGTATTTGACTAGTCACCAGTTTTGTATCCGAGCGAGGAAGCAAGGTTAATCAGTTCAATCGCGTGGGTCAATTACCATAACCATACTAGGCAAAAGTTATAAATACACCAACCTCATTATACATCTCCACATCCCAGTTAAAAAATAACGCGCCAGTGAACTTTTGAAGTTCTATACAACAACGATAAAACATAGAAGATAAGATTCCATATATATAAATAACCAAAGAAAAGCGGTTAAATATAATCACGTGACGTCGTAACATACACTCACCTATAGTCACATACAGTGAGATTGGTATAACATAGTTGTACAATATCAAAAATGATAGAAAATCTTCAAAACTTTGTACAGTCTAAGAAACGAAAGAATTATAAGTTTGAAAGACAAAAAAAGACAATTGACCCTTTTTAGTAAATATTAAAAGATAATGTTTTTGTCAACTAAAATTAAACACCCCCAAGTTCACATGCAGAATGGAATAAGTGATGTTATTACCCCAGTGTCTGCTTTCTCAACGTACGGAGGACCACCTCTGTCAGTCCCCTGATACCAACTTTTCAAAACGGTATGTATGATACACAAGACTAATAGCACCACAAGGAACAATATTAAGAATGTATTCATTTTCCTATATTGAAATAAAAGAGAAGGTTAAAATATGATAACGAAATAAATTAGTCTGAACATGATAGAAATATACCTTTCAACCGATGAATATTTATGAGGATTTTGCCTTTGATTTAACGCCATCTGTTCAATAAAAATTATTATCTTTAGCGCCTAAAACAACAGAAATCCCTACAAGAATAATCATGGTGTACAAACTACCAAAGATTATATGTATACGATGTAATTACCAACACTTATCAATGACTGACCTTCGTATCCATTCCCGTATAAACAGCAACACCTGAGAAAATATTATATTATAAATATATTAACAACCCCATGAAACAAAAGCTACGACTTCAAAAATACCACTCACTGTCAGAGCAGAGTGAACGAGATTTCAACCGTGTATTATTCTGTATCGTTAATTTACAGTACTCTCCAAAAAGAGAAACACATATTCATATATACAGATGTTTAATTCGTAACTCACCGAAAACGTGGCTCGTATTTTTCAATCTTGCTCCTCTCAGAAGAACTTGAGTCGGGCCCAATGATCTTGTGGAAAATAAATATTTTTCATTAGGTGAGAAATTATTTCATTATATGAAACAACTTTATTGTACATGTATCTCGATTTAAACAAGTATACATGCGGTATATATGCCCTTTATTAATCCTGTTTATCAAATTAGTGGATGTTTATAGGGTTCCTCAACGCGATTCCTCAACGGAATTGGCGGAGATGAGGAGAGAATTAAATTGCTTTCCTGCCCTCATTTCCCGCCTCCAGTCATAATTTATGAATGTTTTCTTAAAACTTACTTTGTCTCACCATCATCAAAGATCATACGACCTTGGAACCTGAAAAATGGTTTGTTCATTCAGCGTAATAATTATGTGGTTATATGGGGTTATATTATGGTGGTTATATGTTGAACATACTTGTATAAGTCAGGCATGGGATGTTCGCATTCAATACGAGCTGGAAGCTGATAAAGTTTTTCTGAAGTTTGATAATCAGTTGTATCAGGTAACGAACTGTGAAGCTAAACATGACATATATAGGTATTGAATTAATAAATGACATCAATTTCAAAAATCTAGACATGGTTATCACAGTTATAACGGTCTCTATTAATAGTACAATTAATATAGCTACGTCTTTTAATCATCCCAAAGGGATTCCTGAGTAGGAACAACACTGTCTGTCATTTAGCTTCATAAAAGATTTAGCTTCATGAAGGATCTTTCGGTCAATACCTTCAAATTAGTTTCCCCATCTAAATTAGCAGTTGTTACATGGCATTTGCCTTCCGAATCTTCAGATGACAGTAGAATTAAATCACATGGAAACTCTTCCTCAGCCTTCACCATAACAATATCACCAACCTAAAATTGAAAAATCCTTGTTGTCTAAATGTTGCTCAATTTACTAGAAAAAAATACGTTGGCGAGCGCGTAAATCCAGGTTATTGATTTAAATTTGTGTTGTATAATGTACCTTGATATCTTTTGATATAACGCTGATTAAAGCTCCATTAACAGGACTAACTAACTCATATTTCCTATTGTTCACTTCCTTGTCTGCTTGATGTCGTTTCCAGTCCTCGTATCCCTTAAAAAAGCGAAGTACAATCGCAAACCTTCCAATATAACGATAAAGTCTTCTCACAAAGTAAATGACGCTAGCGAAGCGAGTAGTAATATTATCAGTAAGGATAAGATATGGATCTGAACACGTGCCGGCGCACTACCAGAATATTAGGCGTCAGCGTCTAGAACTTGATTTGATGTAAGACTTACTTGTTTTAAGGCAGTCACAGCCACAACAAAACACAAAGGAAATATACTTGTTAATGGACTAACAGGACTGTCTATAAAAAGCTATGAAAAATCCAAAAATCAATTTTAGTTTTATATACGAACATTTCAACGCTGCACAGATCTCCTTCCCGTAATTTTACGCCAGAAACCACTGATACAAGAGAATCTTTGTGAGACTGGTTGGAATTAGGCGCAAAAAAACGATAATTCTCTCATGTCATGTGTTACTCTCTACGTATCTATGATCAGGGGCTATCTCAGGCTGGTAGAAGGTGACAAGAAAAGGTAAAACACCACATTTGTTACGTACTCACCTGGACAACGCTAATACACAAGAAATAAAAATTTGCAATACGCCGGAATTGTTCGAAGAGATTTTTTGGTAAGAAATTCCAGACTGTATACTAGAAAATGTGGAAAAAAGTCAAACTGAGCATTAAAAGTTATTCTGCGTGGTTTACTAAAGTAGGGGAGTGGAGCAGTGTCCAAATATGTTGAGTGAAGTAACTTTTCAATTTTAGCAGGAAGGAGTCAATGATTATTTCCATAATTGTTACAATATCATGTACTGTATTGTTTATTCAGTAATAATTTTATTAAAGGATATTTTTACTATTAAGTTAACAGAAAGCTTTGAGTAGATCCATATTTCTTTGTTTTTTCTCACATAAGAAAAAGTGGTTGATACCTTTGATGATACAACAGCATTATCAGGAAACCTGTGATATTGTCTGGCTAAGTCAACATCATTCTCTGGTAAACGTCCAAGAAAGTACACAGTTCTAAACTCTCCTTCATAATTTCCTGACCAACAACCCTAAATAAAGAACAATCATCATCTCGCTGAATACAGAAGGATCATCAGCAAATTCAGGCAAACTGCTATATAATTATAGAAATGATTACTATGTGAAAGAAAAATGTTGAGTGGAATTCATACATAATTCAACTGGAAGTGTAGTATGATATTGCTAATTACTTAGACGGTTCTAGGATTTTCCGATCCCAGTCTAACTATGTGTTAACGCCGCAAAATCTTCAAATTAAATTTAACAGCATATCGTTTAGAGCTAGGGATGTTCGTTTATAAAAATTTTCCAGGAATTGAAGTTTCTAAGTTTGGCCAACGACCCTAGCTATCCCTAGTTGGATACCCAAGTTAACCCAGGGGTGTAATGGCAAATGTAAATGAGAGGGCCCCCTAATATGTATATTATTAACAAGGTCAAAATTAAAAAAGTAGCTTTCTATCCGCTGTGTGTAGAAATAGATGAAGAAAGGAGATGTATAATTTTTTATGTAAATATCAAGGGAATAATTTAGAATGATTCCACCAAAACACGTACACTCTGCCCTATCCTCTTTTGATGAAATTAATCAAATTGAAAATTATCATTTGGAATGGAACGTCATTTTACATTGTAAACTGCACAATAAACTGCATGTATAATTTTCAAATGTGTTTTAATAAAAAATGAGGAATGTAAAATGATTACATAACAGTCCTCTTTAGTGCATAAAATCAATATAATACATCTTCCGTACAACAAAATTGAGATGTGCCACTGAATTATTTAATATCTTGAAGATTAGAGTTGAGTTTTCTTTCCAAATAACTTTTATTATTTTCAAAGTGAGGGACTTTGCATCAATATATAGGTGCAGACCGTGCAGTACAATACTGGTCCTAAACGGCAGGACTTAATCATGCAAGTTTTCATCAAATGTGGTTTAGCATCTGCCTAGTTATTACCTCCTTTAACTATGGACTTAAAAGTCAAGGAGTTTGAATTTCAGATACCTTTGTTATCAAGGGATCGAGACTTATTAGAGTACGTAACCTGATTAACACTTTAAACGAAACAGAAAGAAACAGAATACTCTTGAATGCTACAAAATACTTTCATTATGTTTCTCCTCTAAATTAAACACCACTTAATTTAAAAACAGTCTTGTATTAATAACTTTTTGTCTTACTAATAATATCAAAAAAGTAAAACTAATATTTATCTTCCATTCAAAATAATGAAAATTGAAATATAGTGAACAATGTAAGAATAAATATAATAAAGCTAAATAAAACTTAATAGCACTGTATCAATGCTAGTACTGTACACATAAATATGCCTAGGGAAGCCGAATGACCTTAATTTTTTTCTCATCCATGCATACTAATTCAAATCACCCATATTTAATTTGTGAGAAACTTAGTTGCTATGAGGGTAGCTGGATTTATCAGTTTCATTTCTTTAAAATCTCGACTCCAAATGAATCCCAATGCAAAAATATAAAATACTATCCAAGATATGCTTACATTACATGAAAATTATGGCAGAAATGGGATAATAGAAGACAAAAAATTCATAATTCTAATTACCAAACATTTGTTTTATCTATATCTTCCATTATGGAATAAGCGGTACTTGTATTTATAGTCTGTTATAAAGCAATCTTATACTAGCGATCTAAAGTAACCTACAGCATGCTATACAGATCCTTTTATGGTTTTATCACGGTAACTAAAACGTCAAGCTAGCATAATGATGTAACACATAAACACGTTGTTGTATTCATATAAATACTACAGTACAGAGGTGCGACATGCTATGACTTTGTTTTGAAAGAACTATTACTTACCAACCAGTCTTTGATGCTGTCGAAAGCCATTGGATTTGTTCAACTTTTATTTTAATGTTCCAGAAGTATCCATGAAATGTTATAAATAGTTATATATAAGTTAGCTTCGATAAAATGATCGAAAAATCTTTGCTTCCGCGTTCCCGGATAAGATGAGCGTAGTCAACGGGAGTAAATATGTAAAATAGGTAGTGACACTAATGAATATTCACACATTCAGCACCTGCTCCAAGATGCAATAACAAGTTCACTTTGGCCATGGTTACTAGCCACAAAAACACCTGTCACCAAGAGGACAAGCAAACACGAAAATAATAGAAATTTGAAAGAAACTAATCGCTCTGCAGTGAATGCGATCGTGGATGTGAAATTCGTGTCAAATCAAATATAAATCAATCACTAAAAAGCTTAGACTTCATGTAAGAAGACAGTCAAGAGACTAGCTGTGCGCACGGGCGCAGGTTTAATTTACTGGTTTACCATTTAGCAAACATCCATGATATGCAATCCATTTGCCCAAATCTATTTTATTTCCCTATGCAAAGCTCGTATACCTTCTATACCCAGGTACCTGAGAGTAAATCATGCTGCATGTTTATACCGTGAAAATTTACTTTGCACCAATTTGACAACACGTTTTTTCTGCTTGCACGTCTGTCTGTTTTGCAACATTTCACTGTTCTTATGACAAGCGTACATTATTTCGTTATCATTTTGCATAATGCCAACCTGGCAGGTGTTATTATGAAACTTAGGCATTATTGTATTGCATTGTAAAAACTAAAACTATAAATAGCATAATGGTATAGTTGTGTGATTTTACTGAGAGTGAAACAGTGCCTTTTTTAACTATATATCTGGGGGGCAATTGTCCCCCCCCCCAGTAACTACATTTCTGCCCACGTTGTGCGACACAGTATTGCACATGATTGCTCTGAGAATTGCTGTTGATTTACTTGATAAAAAGATTATGCCCTTCCATACGGCCTTCTGCAGCCATCTTGCATGTAATGCATAATGTTCTTCGACAAATATTTCACAGTAGCGATAGATTTCATAAAATCAATCGAATAAAATGCTGGCCTTCTAAACCTCGCCACAAATCAGAAAACTTTAGATGATAGAATGATTATAGCCTGGAACGGTGTCCGTGTCCCTACTGCTTTATATGACCCAAGGCTAGCCGTTGTATCCTTCCCCCTCTTTTCCCCCGACTCCCCTTTTAAAGATAGCCGTGTGGGGATAAACACATAATATGGTTAGAATGATTCATAATTCATTGAAAATTGAAAATTGAGATATAGCTACTATATATGTTTTATGTAATTCCATAGAAAAAAGGCTTTCTTGTTGCCTAGACATGCATAAAGTTAATCGCTCATTTGAAATCGGCCTTTACGAATTACGAATTACGATAATTACTTCATTTATTACTTCATTTACTGCAGGCCTTGATTTGAGAATACGTCAACTGAGATGTAAGGCAGGGCAGGGGAAATATCGTATCGTATGCATTTGTGTTCAATCATTACATTGAAGTCGAAACTGTCTAATTCTTTAGAGATCCGTGTTCAACTTATGACGAAGATCGTTGCATGTAACATGAGATCCGCCTTTCTTATTGCAAAACGTACGAATGCGAATTGATATACTAAGATGAAAGTGAAGGTGACGTGTAATTCGTTCACGCAGTATTTCACTCATTTTAAATATTAAACATTTTTACAAAATTCGCAAAATGCGTTGAGTACCATGCAGTTCATATCCGTCTTACTTCTAAAATAAGAACGCTTCGTCGCTCGCCATTTCCTCAGTCCCGGAACACGCCACGAATCCAGTTCTCGAAGTCCTTTGATGATTCTAACCATTCCATTGACCTTTATCAACATTTTGAGCCACAAATATGAGAAGTGTTGTCACAGTATATTTGTAGTGAATTGAACTTTATTGAAACTCGAACGTGTAACATCATGCAAACAGGTATACTGTAAATATACTTTAAATGGATAATATTAGGACCGGGGTGCAGCATTCATATTGACTTACTGAGCGACTTGAATTAAATTTAGAGTTATTATAGAGTTATAGCATGCATAGAAATGCAGCATACGTGCAATGTAACATTTTTAAACGTCAGTGGATGGATATATGTCCGACGGTTGGAAAATCATTGGTAAATACCACTGCGTCCAGCAACGTTTGCCCGGATTTTCTTTTCCTCAGGTATCCACTGCATGCGAGAAGATGAGGGACTTTCAGACATGTCATCTTCGGCTAAGTCAGCAACAGGAATTTTACTTGGTCTTGCGGCATTCCGTGTCATAATGTAGGCTGGTTCTTCAAAATCATCCCTCAATGCAGGGCTATAAATGGGATACAAGATTTCTTGAATCTATAACTTGGGTCCATAGATCTTTCTTGATAAACAAGCTGCATGTAGCCTATTCGACTATTTCGAGTGTTTTTAATTCTAAGAAACTGTTCACGTGCAATCAAAAAAATAATTAAACAGCTGATTGTTTAACAGCTAGATCATTCGATCCCATTGGCATTGGGTTTTTCTCACGTAGGCAAATACATGCAGTTTATGGTCGTTCACGCATTTATCTTAGTTTATTCGCTTTTATGGAGATTCCTACTAGCTACATTAATGTTATCAATAGTATTTACCATATGTCAGCTTAATAATGAAACGGATATCAGAAAAGAGCAAATAAATTGGATATCAGAAAAGAGCAAAAAAAACTGATATCAATAAGCAATTACAATTTTTGAAATGTAAGAACAGGTCTTCTGATACATGCACGTTAGCCAGTATACTTAATAATTGTATACGTCTACGGTGCTTTTCTATTAAAAAACTGACCAATATTAGCTTCACATTCTTTACCGTTTAACATGGTATTGGCGGGCACTTTCAAATCCTGCATTATCTCGGATTCCTCCTTTCACGCTGTCTGTCTTTCTGTAAGGTTGCCTGTAGACCATGACTTTGGTTCTGTGACGACGTTTTGCTTTGCAAAGCAACGCGACAGCAAGTAAAATAACAGAAATACCAAGAATGAAGGCAACAACAGCCGCTCCGATTGCCATTGGAATGATTTTGTCATCTAAAAAAAATTGTCTTTTCAAAGTTGTCCTGGGACAAAAAATATCATGACAGTACTAGTAGATGTTAGCTGCGTCATTATTAAGTATGAACTCTTTTATTTTTACACGATTAAAAATGAAAACCCCCATTTTACCGGTATAAAATTCTGTTTTGTGTGACTAAAAGGTCACATGTATAAAACTTGAAGTTTTAGAGTACTTTTTTTTTTATACTTACCCCAACATTTTCCAGCAAGCTCGTCGTCAGAACAAAAAGCTAAAATGAAACATAATGATGAATACTGCGAACATTTAAATGGTGTAACCAGCTAGGCTGCAGTTTATATTTAAGATATATTAAACTTTGCATAATACTTGGAAAATATACATTGCATGTGCAGTTTAATATCACGACAATATTTTAATTTTTTTTTAGACCAAACCAAAAAGTGTGAATGATTAGTAACTATAGCTGATGATATTCGTTTGATCACGCAGTAGAATAACACGTCACAGTTTTTGGTTTAATTCAGATTGCATTCAAAACTATGCATTTTGCTGCAACCTAATTCATTCAATTTTCAGAAAGAAATATAAAATTAAAAAAGCTAATAGTTTTCCAGCTTCTACCACTGCATATTAGTTTTATCACTATGAAAATTGTAAATGCAGCTAATTTTACCTGCGTGACAAAGGCCACAGTACATTAGAACCAACACAAGAATCTGAATATTCGCCATCTCGAGCTAAAATGAAATATATGTTTGTTATGGTTTGTTAGCAATTGAAAAATTACACGCATCAATTCCCAAAACAATCATACTAAATTGAACAAGTGTTTTAATTTTTTCCTAAGACTAGTTAATAAAGCGATTAAAAGAGATATTAATTTATCAAACGTACTTCATGCAACGCCAACGGTATTAGATCAGTTCAGACAGTTCTTGTATGTCTAGGCCAGGTATAGTTGACACGATTAATAAAATTTGCCTCATATCAATAAAACACGGGGCAAAAAATAATCCATTGAATGTTCAAAAACATTCTAAATTCTAAATATTCTAAGTAAATATGTTTGATTGTTTTATTTTGCCTATATATGTATATCTTGGCAACCCTCTCACCCCCGCAGAGGCGAAAACATGGTAACTATGCACTTTTCTTTACTGTGCTTTGCTTTCTGTGAACTATACCCGCTGAGCTCTTTAACGTGCTGTGGGGGGGGAGAGGGAATTGTCGTGACGACATCACCAAAATCTGTCTTTTTGAAGCGATTTGAAAATTCCTAGGCGGCACAGAACTGGACAAAAGCACCAACAACTATACATAGAGTATATATAGTTTCCTACATAGAGTAGGAAATTAGATATTAAAATAATTTCCAGCTTTTTTATGCCAAATTGGCTTCTTGAACAGAATTCAACGTGAGTCAGTGAGTTCATTATGTCTATATTCATTTTTTAAAGAGAACAAAATCGCTATATGCGATTGTGATATTAGCCATCGACAGGTGACGAAAATAATTATTCGTTTTTTAAGTTTTACAAACTATTTTATGCGCGGCATTATTATATTTATAGACAATATATTACACCAAGAGCCTTAAACGTTTGTCGTTGCTCTATTGTGCCGACCAATTGTTTTGTATATATATGTCAATATGAACGTTTTCATACTGACGACCGTATATGAAGTATGGAGGCGAATGCTACATTTCTTTTTAAATTTCTTGGAACTGAGTATTGGGTATTTGAATGTAGATGTTCGTATAACTTTCGTCTCTTAAAAATGTTATTGACTTCGAGGTATGCGTTTTGGCCGTATGACTTCATTGAAATGACCGACATATTTGAAGCGTAGGTTTCTCACAAACACACAGAACCTAAACTAATGACATTTTCATTCATGTTTCTTTACAACAACGTTGTTAACTTACCTTCCCAATGCGATCACCTTTATTTTCTTATTTAGGTCGTCGAGGAATCGAACTTTCAATGTTATATTTATCGACTAACTTGTGAATAAATTTTGAGTCAAACTGTGAGCATTATTTTTCAAACAATACAATTTTCATCCAAATATGAAAATGATGAGGAACATTTTCAATAGCGGGTCATTCAAGCTTGTCCTCCGCAGATTCAAAACATCTGTGCATAGGAAAGCTGTCTGTTTAATAACATCAACTTTAGCTCGTTTTCTCACTTTTCTGTCTTCATAAATTTTCAAACTACATCATTGCCATGCATAGGGCTTTTTGGGGGGTTACGACGCATGCCAATCGTATCTGGCGAGTTATAATAGAAATACAGCAGCCAGAAAATGACGAATATTTGCAATCGACTACGAAACAAAACAGGATCATGCAGTGTACGAAATTGTCACGGCATGCAATAACTAATAAAAGAAAATCTAATAAAATCACGAATACTCCAGCCCTAATTCTAAATTCAGAACACAGATCGAGAGTTGATACTGCAAAAGTCAAAAATCTTAATTGTGCCTTGCGGTCATAAAAAGAAAGCATGCATGACTTCAAAAGCCAGATAAGGAAACAATGAGAAAATAAAAAGATTTAGTGTATAAAAACCAAACGAATTTTGTCAGTCGGACATTTAATGTTGCGTCGTGTTCCCTCGCCTCGGCTTGATGTTCGCGACATTACAAGAAAATTATTATATATACTTTACATGCAGTTTACTTTAATTTAATACAGTTGTATGCTATTTATTTCAAAAACAGGAAGACGAATAACTTTTATAAGGTAATAATTCCTGGTTATCTCATTGCAAAATGTAGCTCATAATTTGTAAATGTAGCTCTGTATTTCGGATTTAAAATTAGTAGTGTCAGGTTTCGGATACGATTTGTCGCGTGGAATACCTATCGGACATTGGAATTTGATTTGGTACATGTCTACATACATACGAATTACTTTAATACAGTATGTAAATACAGCTTATTTGGTGTCTTAGTAAAAAGATAAACCCAGCCAAAGCTCCATTTTCCAAGGGATTGACCATTGTCCATTTGTTGAATTGCCGGAGTTTCTTTAATCACATGATTTTCATTGAGAAACTGTTTTATAAGGTGAACCATATATGTACATATATACTATGAAAAATTATCAAAAGATGTAGTATAATTATATAATGCTGTATTCAGCATAGAATTTCCTTTTTTCGTTATCTTCACTTTTATTTAACGATAGGAAGAACGACGTGAAGGGTTTTCCATATTTTTCTTATGATGCAATATTTGAGCAGAGCGAACATTTTGTTGCGATGATGTTGTTTCGGCATATTCAGAGCCTTTTTCTTTCTCAAATAAAGCAAGATCTCGACCAACGAAGGTATCTGGAGCAGGAGGGTGCCGAGTAGCGCCACCAAAGCTAGTTACAGGGGGGTGATCGCCATTATAATTTGAACCTGGTGTTCGACCAACAATGGCGCCAGTGCCACCACTAGTATCCCAAAAATATCCCGTTGGTGATCGATATTCCTCGTCTTCGATCTCATCCATCGCAGAGACGATATCACTCGCATTGGATGAAGGATACGCACTTGTGGCACCACGTTCAGAATATAGAGATCTGTCTGAGACGAAATGACGAGGCATGGCAGGTGGTGGTTTGTCGTCACCTAATCCTTGTTTTCTATAGCAAGAAAAGTAGAGCATTGTTAGTAATGCAACAATGAGATATCAATACGCATTGAATGCTTTGTTAACCATAAAACACCAGACAATGGTTACTGACACTATAATATCATGAATGGCAGAGAAATACCTCTACCTAGGTGAATAATATGCACTCAGCAGGGTAGTTACCCTGAAGACCAATGTGAATTAAGTTCTTCCATGCATGCATCCAAGAACATTTTCTTGACTCGTTCTATATTCCTTCCATCCCGAAAACTAATCAGAGATACTAACAATGCATGCATGTACAAAGCAGAGATAACCAGATTCGCCACTGACCTAGGTTCAAACTGGTGTCCGTTATTTTCAGTACCCAAGTCTTGAACTCTTCTTACCCAATCGATTGGTTCCTTTGAATGAACCCAATCAATTGCTCCACTTTTTACTTTTGTTTTGCAGAAGAGACACAGTGAAAGGACGAGAAGAAAAATACCAAATACAAAACCAACTGTGGTGGCTCCTATGGCGTATGGAACTATTCTTTCTCCTACAAGTAAAATTATATATCGTATAGTTTTAATCTATGTATATGTTCACGTCATCTATAGTGTTATTCTTGAAACAAGAGGCCGTGCGTGCTGGCCTATATTCAATATTTCAATTGATGCTCTAAAGCTAAAGAAGACTGACAACATTTCCCGACATCGCCATATAGTTTTATAATGTACGAATTGAGACCATTCTAACCGATTGTGCCACGCATGTCATAATAATTTATTTAAAAAAATATAAAAATTCTTACTGAAGCACTCCCCAGCAATGACATTATCAGGACAATATTCTGTTAAATATAAATTTAGAGTTAGAATGTCTATTACTACACCTTAAGCTCTTTTCACACCGCACGGAATGACGTAGCCATCATGTTAACCGTCTGTTTTTAGCAAACCAGACCATACAATAACTTCAGTGACTTATTAATCAATTTATAACCCCCAAATACGCTATATACAATCGTAATAAGTTACTAAATTCGGATTACATTTAATATTTCTATATATCTAAAAGTGATATCAGTTGAAACTACGATACCATTTTTCTACACCATAGGCATGGTTATACAGTATATGCACCCACCATTATCGCAGAGGAAATAAGTAAGAAACTGACAGAGTACCACTGTAGACTGGTAAGATTAGTCAGGATTTCAAAAATAAAACCCCTTCATGCGACGTTGGAATGCAAACCGGCCATGAGAATGTTTTTTCATCAATCGCTGCTGTGTCGGCACGGTGCTGGCAACTTATTTCAATATCGAGCACAGTAATAATCGTTGTCATTGGTTATATTTGTTTGTTTTTTTAATAAACTGGCCCACCCCCCGTTGTTTCAAACAAGAAATCGTAGTTATCCTTTCTTAATTAGCTTCTTTTCACACGCGTAGGCGTAGCTCGTATAAGGATTTGAACTTCGCTGTAAGACGAAACTAATTTTAAGAGTTCTGGCTTTTGCCTAATCTAGGTCAATAATATTTGGCCATAAAAACGGCTATTATCAGATTGAAACAAGATGAAATTTGAGGTGAAAATGAGCATTACAAACCTGCGTTGACAAGATCTTGCAAACAAAATACTGCCACGACACTCAGGAAACTTGTGAATGAGTTCTTTGTCATATTTATACGTGATTCTTGAAAGATCTAGGGATTTGATTTAGAATTACAAGTGTAAAACAATGTTATGACTTATGTAGACTACGATTCTAAATGAACAAATCGTTCATTTGTAAGTTGATAGAGCTGAATCCTTTCAATACACTAGTACTATATGAATATATTATATATAATATCTACTAGAATGACTCGGGATTATAAAACATGATTCTACTATGTATAGTATTGTGAAACACATCACATCTGTATATTAACTATTAAAACGAGTATATAACACCAATACCTTAGACGTCTTGCCTCTCTGTAATACAGAATTCCTAACTTGCAAAATGCCACCAACACGTTTCTCATCAGTTTTTGTTGTGAATTACACCACTGGATGCCATGTTTAATCAACCAGAACAAAACAAAATTTTATTATTAATTGCATTATACATGCATATTTAGTTTTCTTTTTTTCATTTATAGGTTCGTTGATTTTCTGATGCGGAATTTTTCAATTCTTCGAAATGTAGATAGTTGAACGATTAAAAGCTTCAGCAGCTGTATTTGCTCCAGCTTATTGCTTCATTTCTCAAGTCATGTAATATAAAGTGGTGTTGTAATTTGGTCTGTCAGATGCTGCTGTAGTCGAAACTCTTTGGTTTCCATAGAACATATTTCGTCTTTGGAAATTACATGCTAAAACCGCACGCATGGAGACGTTTCGTTATAAATTAAATTCGATCATTTATAATTGTCAGTCCGCGGATCAGTGAAACCCTGGGTACGAGGTTGTGAGTATCATTGAGTTCATATTGTGAGTTCATTGTTGACTACCTAGTTCTACAGGCTGTTGTTGCCTAGCGACAACACGTGTACGTTTCAATCTTCTCCAATGTCCAGTATCATAGTTCATTTCAAACAACATTTCAACAAGTTGTGTTTGTGGGGGGTTCACTGAAGTACTTATTTCTGTATGTTCACTCAATTTCACTGTTATCACTGGACCCTGATCTGGAAATGGGTTTTCTAAATAATAAAAAAGAAAATTATCACGTTCAATGCACGCCAAAGTGAAATATCTGTCGTTGTGCATGTGATAAATGTGTTGAACATACGGGGAAGCTAAAAACGAATAAGAGATTCGTTCTTGTTCACTTTGTACTTTATTTATAATAAAGCAGCATTCGTCCAATAGCGATTAAGAAAGACCATTCTTCTGTATCATCTATTGTGTACATGTACTCAATTTTACATATACACATATAAACACCACTTTGAGTTTTGGTGAAGCTGATATACGGTACGTACTACCGTAAAGTGTTGGATATGAACCTGGATTGTTTTACAGCATAAAAACACACAGATTGCCGTAATTATATATAGTGTATACCTCTGGCCCCAGCCATGAACCCTAGAATCAATGCCTTTTCTGGTTTAGTGACTTTATTAGCATCACGGAACATCTCTTGAGCTGCTAACATTTGATCACGCTGTGGTCAAAAAGGAAAGATTCGACATAAACACGAAGCACGAGTGAAATCCTAAATTTGCGTTTGACCGAATATACTGTCAATCATTTTCCACAGGCATAGGGATTTTATCAGTTTGAAACTCAATTTGTAGTTTCCGAAGATTACGCACAAACACAGGCGAGGTTGAAACACAGGCATGCATAATCTTGTAAAAATAAGGTATTTCTCACCGTTAGTTTGAGGTCTCGTTTTGGCGGGTCAGAGGCAACAGGTTGATTTGGTAACGTCGGACGTCGAGGAGGAGCACTTGGTTGTGATGGTGGTTGCAGCGAAACTGATTTAAACGAAGTTGAAGTTTGGGCGGTGGTGTTTTGTTGTCCTCCAGTTGCATTCAAATGACGAAGCTTCTGCAGGTTCTGACGTTCTCTTTCAATGTGCATCTATAGTTAGAAAACAAATATTTTTATTTATCTCCGGACAATCTCATTTTAGCAAAAAAATCAACGGCACGAAAAAGACGCATGCCTTCATCCACCCACCTGAAGCTCCTGGCTAAAGTTTGCAGAACTTGCTGTCAAGGTGGTATCTTGTGAGGGTGTATCAGGTTTGCTCGTCGGAAGATGAGTATTAAGTCCAGCCATTGAAGCATACGATGGTGTAGTAGTTGTTGCTTGTGTTGAGCTTGCAGTTGATTGAGGTGTCTAATGTCAGACAGGAGTAAGACCATCAATAAACAGGGACAATTACAAACAGAATCTTCCCAATAGAAGACTAATAGTCGAGTACAGAATAAAAATTAAGCCCTTGTGGAATTGATATGTTTCAGATTCGTGAACTCTTTCATGCACGGTTATACTCTCTTCAATTCCTTTTTTAAAAGCAAGGTTTTTTCAGAATGGCTCATCATTATATCTCACCTCTGATGGATTGGTTAGTCCAATAGCGTATTCTGGTGTAGCGGTTTCCTGTGCTTTAGATAATTCTTTCTTCTTTCTGTCCTCTTCCAATAACTGCTCCATTTCAGCTTAACGTTTTGTAAAAAAAACAATGATGACGATGTAAACTACAATATCATCACACGCAATGAAAGGGCCGCACGAAACGTGTTCTCGTGTTTTTATGCAAAAATGTGCAGACTGCAAACACATCAATGGTCTCGACCCAACTAATCTTTCTCATTTTACAATCACCGGAATTTATTTCACGATAAAACGATCAAAATGAAGGGATCAGCGGGTATATTCTGTCTTGATACACTGTGTTTGTTGCATGATGTCGCTTCAGACAAAATCTTCATCTCACCTGTTATCAACTTCTTTCTGCGTTTCGCTTCTCTCACCCCACCTCCAATGGGCTGCTCATTAATGTCTAACAACTGCATGGAACATAAAAAATATCTTTGGTTGTCTGACGGGCACAATAATTGAGTGAAGTGATCATAGTTTGGGCTCTCTGTCACCAAACGAACAATTAATACCCTACCACAGAGTAAGTAATATATCTATTAGTTACTCTGTCCCTAAATGACAAAACTACGGGTACGTCGCAAAAGCTTGCACGTGCTGCTGTGATCTGACAAGATGATGAATATTGTTGTATAAATTAAATTATAAAAAAATATAGTTGAGGGTAAATCAGCTATGATTTTTGGCACTTCACTTGATGAAGGTAAATTCTCATTAAGACCTCATTAAGACCTTTTGAACCTCTAGCATTTATAAAATAATATAACCCATTACCTTTGCTGTTCTATTTTGCTGTTTAAGTGAAGCAGCTGAAAGACTACGTAGCGCTGACGTTCCTGCACTTGGTGCTGTTTTACTGTGCACTCGAGCAAGTGGAATATTCTGTTTCACTGGAGATTTACCTGACAGACATTTTAATGCAACATAAATTATAAATACTGATATTGTTATGACCAATTTTGTTAACAGAAAGAAATATCATCGGGATAAATCCAGATTTTACACTTAGAAAATGATGAAATCATAATGAAATCAAATGAGAATGAAGTTGTAAAATGAAATGAAGTCAATTAATGTAAATGAACTGAACACTTACCAATACTGTCAGATCTTTTCAAATTACCGGTTGAACCAGCGATTAAAGAATGAGAACGTTTCAGACCAGATGACGATTCTGTTGCTGTATAAAAATAGAATACGATGCAGAAAATCACACGCCACAATTTCTTGAGACAAATTGCCATGCATATTTAAAAAAATTAGATGTTTGCATGAAATGTAGAGGGTAATCGAAGCATTTAGATTTCCTAAAAGGTTTATTTCTCCCTCCCTACTGATGTTCTCTAATTCCATGCTACATATCATTATAATTATTATCTAGCAAGTTTTTTTCCATTTCACACAAGATCTGAATTTAAAGTAAGTGTCAACATGGATTTGTGATAAAAACCAACCTTTCTGAAATAGTTCAGCCTTCAAAGCAGCAGATTTAGGTTTTCTTCTCAATGTAAAATGTTTAGATGGTGCTGGTTGAGCTCCAATTGTTGCAAGTAAAGCTCCTCTGTTCAAATATGGACATTCCATTGGTAGTAAATTTGATTGATTTTTGCTGTTACTCACTAAAACAAATGAATAATACCTCAAGTTAATTGACTCATCTAACTCATCCTTTCTCAAAATTCAAAATTGAAATTACCCAATACTGTTATTTACAAGGGTTTTGCAATTATTTTTTAGTTTACAAAAATTCAATTGGGAACGTTTGTGTGAAAAACACATGTTCATTTTCTCTTAAAACTTTTTCTCTTTTTGTAGAATTCCTTAATATCCATTGCAGTATGGATTTATATTATAGCCAGGTATCTGGCTGCATAATTTTCTTTAATATGGGATAACTATTGTTTATGCAATTATGCATTTGTTACAGTAACTTACTTTATTATACTCACTATACTTGTATGTACTTACTCGTTTGTCTGATGTCTTGAACAATCGAGGCAAACACAGGACTAACATTTTCTAGATCAACGTTAAGGTTTCCTGTTTCTGGATAATTTCTTAATATCTCCGAAAGAATTCTCACCCAATCATCTGAATCACTTGAGCCTATTTCTAAAATATCATTTAATTCTGAACTCATCTCCTGTGCACTTCTTCTCGGGATATAGAGAAACGACATGAGCAGTTTAATTTTAACATGAGAGTTTAATGTATGGAAACAATCTTGTATATTTCTTAGTACATGAGTTGTTAACATTGACCAGATATTAGTTCCCGACCACATATCGTCGCTAGACAACTTATTATGGAGCCACATTGCTGTATCAACCTCTCGCATTGTCGCCATCTTCAATTTTTGAGATTTTTGAGCAAAACACTGATCTAAACACAATCGTTCGAATCTGGATTAATTAAACCCCGGCGCTTTACGCAAACCAGTATTGGAGGTATCAGAGGTATGAGATCATTTGGGACGTACTTTGTTATAATACATGGCATTACGATCCTACCATTTTCACAAACCAGTATTGGAGGTATCAGAGGTATGAGATCATTTGGGACGTACTTTGTTATAATACATGGCATTACGATCCTACCATTTTCACAACCTCTTTTACCAGACAAGCCGGGGAAAAACACGAGGGGGGAGGTCGATAACATATACTATATTATGCCAACATTGCAAAACATTGTCAGCGAAGATTATAGCACCAGCCGGGGTAGCTGTTCTTTTACCGGAAGAGACAGGTGGGTAAAGGTGTCGTTTTATGTTGAACGGTTACATCCTAATCTAGTCGCCTATAAGTTCCCAGCGGAGCTCGTTTTCTAACGGGGTGGCTCAATGAAATATGGCCCGCGAGACCAAATGTTTGTGGGGTGATAATATTTTCTATGATATCGCCCTGTGGAAGCCGGTATAGTGAACACCTTATCTAAATATTGAACTTGTACTTGCTAGAACTTTGCCATTTTCATCATCTACATCAAAACATCAGTTTATCTCTGTAAATTTTACATTTTTTAAGGGCCAAGGCCATCAATCACTGCACACTAATTTTAGGCATGTTCCTAAAAACTATTTTCCCTGGAATGCAGATATTTTTTGCTTGCCTAACTATTTTTGTATTCCCTGATTCTACACACCACCGGCCCACCCTTCCCCGCACATACACACCACCCCGCCCTTCCCTGCACATACACAACAGCCCACCCTCCCCCGCACATACAAAATAAGCAACAGTGAGTGCAACACTCAACAAATTAACATTCTATTTTATTACAGAGTTAATAAACTGTGCTTTTTTAACAGAAATGACACGGAAATTTCTCACGAATACTTATAATTAGAATCTCAATAACTTGGGACCTTTTAAAGTACTATTTCAGCTATCAATACCTCTACTTATTTGAAAACAATCACAAATTCAAACGCTAATTTTCCTAAAAATATGTTTGTAAAATTCATCTAAACTAGAAAAAATCCGAAAACAAAGAAAATTTTCTCTACAATCCATATCAGCATCCAAAAAAGTTTGCCTAATCGCATCATCAAGACAATAATAATCTTCATGCATTTTTTGAAAGGTAACGTCTTTAAAAAAACAGTTCAATTTTTCCAAAACGCAGTGTCTAGAAGGACAGTTCCGCAGAGAATATGGCCATTTTAAGTGATCTATATTGTAGCGTTCGCAGAGGTCCGACCTATAGCTATAAAATAAACGCGCTGATTTTGAAAACTAGGTTATCCTTTTTCATTCCCGAAGACGAAGACAAGCTATTCAATCGAAGTCAAAGCATTATCTGAGATTCAAGATGTCTCAAGCTCAAGTCGTAGCTCCTGTTGCAGCAAAACCTAAAAGACAACGTAAGGCAGTTCCAGCTCATCCAAAGTTCATTGATATGGTTAAAGATGCCATTGGAACATTAAAAGATCGCAATGGTTCATCTCGTCAAGCAATTTGCAAGGTGATCCTTGGCAAATATCCAAGTGTAAACCCAAGCACGATGAACAGCCATGTTCGTAAAGCTTTGAAAAGTGGCCTAGAATCTGGTACTCTAACACGACCAGCGCGTTCTTCTGCCACTGGTGCAACCGGACGATTTAAGTTGGGGGCATCAAAGTCAACAGAGCCTGCGAAGAAAAAAGCAGCAAAGCCAAAGAAACCAGCGTCGACCAAAAAAAGACCTGCAAAGAAAGCCGGAGCAAAGAAAACTGCAAAGCCAAAAGCCAAATCACCTCGTAAGAAGACAGTCACGAAGAAGAAATCGACTGTAAGCAAGAAATCGACAAGCACCAAAACGAAGAAAGCCAGCCCGAAGAAGAAAACAAAACCTGCAACAAAGAAGGTCGCGAAGAAAGCTAAAGCAAAGAAGGCTCCGAAAAGCCCAGCTAAAAAATAAACCTGTCCTTGTGACAGAAAAACAACGGCTCTTATAAGAGCCACCACAAATACAAAAGAAATAAACGAAATATTCTCAATTTTCGAGCGAATATTTGAAAGCTTGTCAAAAAATTCCGCTCTTATTCGCGGTTTAGTTGTCTCGCGGAATTTGCGAATTTTTAAATATTTAAATTACCTTCTTGTTTGTGAGTTACGCGTTATCAATGATGCGAAAATATACACGCCTTTCCTGTTGCCATTTAGACTGAGAAACAAAGACTACGAAGAACTTGGAATCTCAGGTTCCCATTATTTGGCTATATAGGCTTGATACAGTGCTTTGCATTTAACCTTAGAGTGATCTGTTGGGTACGTATTACATGTATTTTGGTAACAACGAAACTTTGCTTTTGTTCCTGACTAGAAGAGTCTATTCACACTGTAACAGCCTAGTTTGGTAACAGCTAGCAATCCAGCACGTCAATCATCTCAACTCTCAGGTTTACATTATATTATTTATATATAATTATTTATAACAAATGAGCGATATTTGGATTTATCAGCGAAATTTATCCAATACACCGAGATCTTCTACGAAAATGTTTTGTAAAAGGGCTCTTCTGTATTGACGGGTAATACAAGACAGTGTATTGAGTAAAATGTTGGTGCTTGAATTTCCATCTATATCTCAACATAGGCAACTTAAAGCTCAGAAATGTATAGTGGTATTCTAAAATCGCGTTCTCTGGTGGTGTTCGTGCCGACGTCGTCACGTCGATGCGTGTAGACGTAGGCACGACTCACATTATTTATATTCTTATTTTATCTTATGATATCATACATAATACTGCGAAACAACCCTTCATGCATGCAATGATGCAGTTTTGCCAATACCATAAGTTTATAACCCTTTGATCTCCAACCATCCATGTAAATTAAATCAAAAGACGAAGGAAATGCACCCTGTAGTTAAGTCAATTTTCGGTGCGATATTCTTCTTTTGGTAGTTGTGAACGGAGTGACTAGTTACGAATGCTTTGATGACTATGAGCGCTTTCCATTAAGCGGCCAAAATGGTCAGACCGGTCGTATTTTGAATTGAAATAGAGTATTTCGTTAAAAATATACTGGTGAAACTGTATTTTATTGTAAATAACATTAAATCTGAATGCAGATTTCTTAAAACACTCCAAAATACCAGTAATCCGTCTATACTGAAATACAACAGGACCATTCTGACCTGACAGTTTTTACGGTATATAAAGGAATGCGCCCGAGGAGCTTTTATTTGAACGTCCGTAACTAATTCACTCGTTCACATCTGTCAAAAGAAGAAAATCGCACATGAAATCACATTTATCGCAGCAAAAATGTTGATTCGAAAGGTTCGTCTACCGACCTGGGCGACCTAGGTTATAGTGGTTACGTCATTGTATCAGTGTGTTATGTCATTGTATCACCGTATAATGAGTCAATTCCTATGGCCATATGGCATTAATAGCAAAAATGATTATGTCCCCGAGTTTACCAGTGTTTATACCAATGACAGAAAGCAGAAAATGGCTCATGAATACTTCCTTTTTCAGGACATAGAGAAAGAGGAACTCAAATATGGGGGAAACTTTAAAAGCACTAGGTGCGTTGCGTTGAACCATATGAACATAAATATCAGTATAAGTCTGTATTCGGCTATTAAATGACATTGGACTCTGACAAATGACGTACATTATTCTCTACACTCTTGAGAACATGCCAATTAAATTCGTTATTCGTCTACGGTCTAATGTTATTGAATTTCCAAACCCTTATAGCTATGTCAAATTTGACCACTCTGCATGCCCTGGTTAAATACTGAATAGTGATTACTAGCATCAAATGTGGTATAACAACAGCCTAAGATAGACGTCAATATACCACATTTGATGCTAAGTTGTTTGAAGACGCTGCCAGCTTGCTCCCTGCTTATATTGGATTACTAGACATTTATAATTTTTAGGTCTTTCATGCTGTGTATTTTTACTGATAGCTGCATGTTTTGTGTTACCAATCTCAATGATTGTAATTGGTAAGTTCAGTTTTTTGCTATATACATGGTGTCACAAAATAATTATGCTGCCAGGCTTCACAAAATAGTAAATCTTACAAAACTTAGTAAGCCAGGATGTGGAACCCGAGTTGGTCTTCATTGGAATGCTACAGAAACTGGGGTTATATATATTCACCTTTTATTCCAAAAAAATTGCAACAAAGTTTGATACAGGGCATAATTTTTCGGGACACCTAGTAATGGACATAAGATTTGAAATAATATAAACTGAACCATTAAAACTTAGTTAAAAAATATTTTTCACTCTTGGAAAGGTGCCAAATACAAAGATGATTGTCCAATTGAGCACAAGATTCCAATCTGGTTAATTGTATCTGGTGTTGTAGCCTTGTTCCAAGGAATATTTGCTCCAGCTTTCCGTAGGAATGGAAAATCAGAACGAAACTCCGGTCAAGGTGTTTTTCAGGCAGTTGGTCTTATCATCAATATTTTTCAAATTGTTTGGCTAATTATTGGAAGTGTCTGGATTTATGGTAACTACAAACCAGATTATAACAAATCTGATGACCAATTTTTTTGCCACGAAACAGTGTATTTGTTTAGTTTTTGGATTCTGAATGTCACCTACATTGGTTTGTCTATCACCTTGTTTATCTCCATTGGATTGTTCCTGTACAATAGAGGTCTCGCTGGAGACACTCGAACACAGTAACTTTGTAAGAACATATTTATATTTTTTTCTGTATATGTATTTCTTTAATTTCTTTATCTTACTGTAAAATATCCAACTCCTCAAGACTTAGATGAGGGAGAGGGACTATATGGTAGATTATTTTAACAATGGGTATCAAAGCAATATGTCTCGGACACAAGCCTCTCGCACTGTAATTGTCTTCACTACTGTTTGCAACTAACAGATTTAGGTCATTCCATATGGCCTAACAACCCGAAATAGCAAGGCAGGGTCAACCTCTGCGGTTGTGTCTGGAGGGGGCGGAATAGGTTTGTTCCAAACCTTCAATTTCATATTTCCAGCTCCATCACTGCTCAAGTACAAGTCATCTGTTCCTTGTTTTTTATTGGATTGAAGTACACAAAAAGCACTGTTTGGTTGGAACAATTGCTTAACTTCAAATGATGTTGCATCATTAGCCTTTACACAAAAAATAAAGAAAATTTATTTATCAAGTCTTTGGCAAGTAGAACATGTGCCTTGCCTGGGTTAGATACTACCAAGTTGATTAGAGTAACTAAAAGATTTAAGTCTGGCTAGATAAAAGCAAGGTGTAATGAACAAATTTTCACACTCTTCAATATTGCAGTATTATATTTAATAGTCAAGGTAACAAGACAATATGAATGCTTTATTACCACTCATCTAAATTGGTGGGAATTACCTGACAAATACCATCTCACCTACTTAAAATCAACCAAAAATATAGTTACAGTAAAGGACCCAAAGTTCAAATCATTTGTTGGACATTTTCATGGGTGTTGTTTTAGCTTCAACAGCCCCTAGCTATCACTGTCAATCTTCCTCCATATAAATTATCTGAAGTTGTATTTGAATGTTGAAGAGCCAGCTAGCAAAGCTACACAAGTCTTATTAAATTCATAAACAATTACGGAATAAAATTTGAAGGCACACAAGGCTTAAAAGATACCATTTCTGATGATCTTAAGACTTGACCAATGAATCATCCAAAAAAATTCACAGCAACTATGATAGTCAAAGTTGGATAGTAGCCTTTGCGTATAGATGGGTATTTTTTTAGAGCCACCTTAAATGAAACAGATTTCAAGTTTTACTCACAGGACCTATGTGCAAAGGTGTAAAACATCCTTCTTCAACACATGTGTCAAAAAGAAATTTTAAGTTTGAACAATAAATAATGTGAAAATAAGCCATAACACGAGAATGAGGCTCAGGCCTCGGGGCCAAAACCCGAGCCTCGTTTTCGTGATATGGCGTGGTATGTCAAAACACTATCTCAAAATGAAAAATTCTTTCTGACGCATGTGTTGAAGAAAGATGTTTTACACCTTTGCACATAGCTCGTGAGAGTAAAACTTGAAATCTGTTTCATTTAAGGTGGTTCTAAACTAAAGCTGGAGATGGTAAAGTTGTGACGTAATTACCGGAAGGCTGTATTACTCCAATACTCCATTGTCTAAAATGCATCGCAGTTCGCACTAACCGGAACATATGTGGTATGTTTGAATATATGTCGAAAACAAATAATATAAAACCAGATTGTATAGATCTAGATAACCACAACATTCTGACTTACCCCATCAACTGCGACCACATCACGTTCTGAAGCAGTGAGGTAGTAATCCTGGTTATTTTTATTGAACTGCAGTTGAAACAGTTGTGGATCCGGCCTTCGTTGTATTTCGAGGAACGTGATGTCAGTTAGAGCTAGCGAAGTGTAAAAATAATGATTTAATCAATGTGTGATTATGATGATGATGATCACCATAACGATGATGATGATCACCATAACGATGATGATGATCACCATAACGTTGGTGCTGATGATCAGGATGATGATGATTCTGATAATGAAAATATCGGAAAACTGGTAAACTACACTATTAAAAAGGATTGTCTAGACTCACCACATCTACGAACACACTGGATTAGAATGTCGAGAGAAGAAAACTATTGAGTATTCCCGACTACAAGGCCAACTGCTGGACGCATGTAGAGTTGTTATTTAATAGACTTATTTACAACAAGGGTTGTCTATTAATTGTTGTGTCGTTACGATGAAATCTCGTAACAGCTTTGACGAGACTCTAGCTAATGACGCAGTATTCCCAGTAGAATTTAAAATTAAACGAGCTCTCAGTTGAAGTTTGATTTGAATTGAATAGCCAAATGCAGCCATTAGATTTTTAGATGGTCTTAAAAATGAGTGCATATTTGAGATATTATCTAGTATTATAATGAGATAACTCTCTTACCTAAAGTTGTCCCTTCAGCGTCACCAGTGGCCTTGACGAAATACGACTTAGAATCTATGACATCAAAATATGTCGTTTGAGTCGCTTTTAAGGACTTGTTAGTTGTTATCCGACATTTGTATTCAAGTTTTATAAAAGCAGTAATTTTGTCGCTTGGGAGTGTGTTGTGTTTCTTAAGAAATTATTCGTCCAAACTGTCTTTTGCTTTGAGAATACGAACCCTTGCATTGCAATTATCATTCAACTATCCTTAATCTGAATAAACATATAGTGCAGGAATAACGCCCAGTTTATACGTCGCACTTTGGTCGCGTCGAATGCAGTTCAAACAAAAGATAATTAGATGATAATGAAGCTTAATGAGGTTTATAGTCTCATTATACAGGGTGTCCCCAAAAAAACGAAAACTATTGAAATCACCCATAACAATGCCATTGATAGAGTTGGAATGACTAAGCACTCTGTTGGGACCCACAGGTGTAAAAATGTTTACCATACTCATTTTTATGCATGCATTTGATGCAGTAAAATTTGCTTGTTCGCAAAAATCATATTTATAAACAATATTTACAATTTACAATTACGGATAACAATATTTAAATGTGCATCTCAAGGACCATGACCTTCGACATGTCCCCTTTCTCTAGCAACACAAAGCATTTAGCATTTTATAAGTTGCATTAAATCCCGACGGGCTGAAATTCGTGAACACGGCATTCAAATTTTGACAATGACTGATTTCAATAGTTTTCGGTTTTTTTGGGACACCCTGTATATTGTTCGAATGACGTCACTGGGCCGACCTTACATGCAACGAGGCAGGCATAACTACAGAAATCGCATGAAAGCAATCTTGTATTTCACCAGTGTGAAGTAATAAAATGGGAGGCAACAATAATCCCACCTAGCCTCCTCCGCAGGCAACTCTTATGTATTTATATTAGGCATTTATATTTGGCTTAGGTTACTAAATCCCACCAAGATGGGCTTGCATGACCGAATAGTTCCTAGCCTGATCCAAATCGCCATTTAACAATTAAGGAACAGGAACACGCCATGCTAGCGCTATGGCTATTTGGCCGTGGCAGACTATTTGGAATTAGCCTGCAGCAGGGCCTAGCTCCGTTGCTCTCCACATAGGAGATGAGGATGAGTCCTCTTATGTAAAGTTTTGTCCTCAGTCCCCTCACACTGTCTTTGCTGAATTATCTTTTGCCTTTTGAACTTCATTTTATGCCCGGAAAAACATACTGAATCACCGACAGAACCCAACCTTATGAATCTATTCCATCGTTGATTTCATAAGTAGCTATCATTTCAGAGCTATCATTTAAATGATTTTAAACTTTTACGTGCGTACGTGCAAAAATCAGTGGAAAGAAACACTTAGTCTGAACTCTGAAGATGAAAAACTAGTTTGATCACGGTGGGAAGAGTAAAGACCCTGGGTACGAGGTTGAAGCTTGCCCAGTTTGGTAACTCAGAATATTATTCACCACCATCGTAATATCAACTCATATAGCTACCTGAGTCATAGGGATTATCACTTTTCTTAGCATATTCATTTGGAAGATGACCGAACTTAAATATTGTTAGATATTCAGACAGGACATCGCATTTCGTAATAATTTCATGTTCAGTAAATCCTAAATACACAAATTTAGCCCTAAATTGAGGTTAATTTAGGATTCGATTTAGGATTAAGATTTACCATATGGATTTACTGAGCATTAATTACAACCTCGTACCCAGGGTTTTCCCTCTTGGAAAACTCTGGGTAGGAGGTTGCACAATTATCCTACCTCCTCCGCAGGCGCTAGGAGACATTTCGGGCGATTTCGGAAAATCATTACCCTCGTTTGTTTACATACCGACTTGATTTTTAATTTACTATCTATTAAGTATTTTTTTTTCGAAAACGAATGCAGACTGTGCAGTAATCCGACAGTTCTGGGTGAAGATATGTTTTTCGGGGGAAATTCTTATGGTAAGACTTTTATAAACTCACAGTCATAACATAAAACTTTACCAGGTCCGTTGTCTGTAATAAACACGTATTTTCCAGTCCCAGACCCACTATTATAAGACCACAATCGACGTATTTCCTGATTGTCAATATTGGAGGCTAGAAAATTATGTAATAAATAATAATTTAATACAAATTATACAATTGCATTCGACTTCGAGTCTGAATACCGAATACGTGACTCTATATATAGGCTATATACCAGACATTCTCTTACCTACTGTCAGTACATTTGACTTTTTATAACCAGTCGTGTTATATGAGTATACATGACCTATGATATGAAATAAATACATGTCTGTGCTTAGCCTTGGGTTTTAATAGTTTACCACGCGGTCATAACCAAATGAGTGCTGCCTGTGTTGGGGAAAACAATTAGTAATTGGCTAATCTAGGTTTGAATTTCAGTGTAAAGCTGCCTCTTGCCTTTACTGATGGTTATACGATCCTTCAAACTACAACTAAGCTTGTAAGAGCATGCGTCCCTAACTTCAAAAAGGGCTTTAATACAGCTGAAGTATAAATATTTCTCCTCCTGGTGAAACCTGTGTCTATACATTCAGTCTTGGCTTATTATAGTACATTCTGATGGTCAATACGCCCAATACTGCTGCCGACTAGAAAATTGTATAATAATTTAATACAATTGCATTTAAATTCGAGTCTGAATACCGAATACGTGACTCTATATTATACGAGACATTCTCTTACCTGGAGTTGGCTTTTTAAGAGTCCTGTTATATGAATATATATGACCTATGATATGAAATAAATACATGTCTGTGCTTAGCCTTGGGTTTTAATAGTTTACCACGCGGTCATAACCAAACGAATGCTGCCTGTGTTGGGAAAACTAATTAGTAATTGTCTAATCTAGGTTTGACTTTCAGTGTAAAGCTGCCTCTTGCCTTTACTGATGGTTATACGATCCTTCACACTACAACTATTCTAAGACTAAGGTTGTAAGAGCATGCGTCCTTAACTTCGAAGGGCTTTAATACAGCTGGGGCCGGTTGTATAAAAACGTAGTTAGCCTTAACTGCAGTTAAAAAGTAGTTAAAGTTAACTATCCTTAAGGGCATCGCAGCATCGTTAACTTTCCAAATCGTAGTTAAAATCAACACATACCAAGGTTGTCAACCGTTATACACTCAGAAAAGGCCCCGTCGAAGCTTGTAAACTTCCGTCTTCCAATATGCTTATATTTTTTTCATTTGGGCAGCAACGGAGTATATTTTTGCTTCGGGACTCGGGAGACGCGTCGATGCCAAATTGCGATCCTAGCAAAGATTAGGCCATCTCCATTTTCAACTGCAACCGGTATTTTGACTCAAAGGGACCTTTTTATATTAAGAGCCCCATTTTCGTTGAATTATTTGGAATTTTTTTCCTTGTTTAATTGCATTTTTTCCAATATTTTAGATCAAAATACTGTCAATTTTTGTAAACACGAGTCCACAGTCTTGTTCAAAATCAATAATAGCGGTCAATGAGGCTCCACGCAAGTTAACTACGTGATTAGTTAATCATCCGACTAACTACGTTTTGTGCAACGCAGTTAAGTCGTGTAGTTAACTAATCATAGTTAAGGATTTAACTACAGTGATTAGCGCTAATCACAGTTAAAGTTAACGACGTTTAAATACAACCGGCCCCTGAAGTATAAATATTTCTCCTCCTGGTGAAACCTGTGTCTATACATTCAGTCTTGACTTATTATAGTACATTCTAATGGTCAATAGGCCCATGCAATACTGCTGCCGACTAGAAAAATATATAATAATTTAATACAATTGCGCACATTCGACTTCGAGTCTGAATACGTGACTCTATGTACGAGACATTCTTTTACCTGGAGTTAGCACTCCACGAACAGTCCTGATATATGAATATACATGACCTATGATAAGAAATAAATACATGTCTGTGCTTAGCCTTGGGTTTTAATAGTTTACCACGCGGTCATAACCAAATGAATGCTGCCTGTGTTGGGGAAAACAATTAGTAATTGGCTTATCTAGGTTTGACTTTCAGTGTAAAGCTGCCTCTTGCCTTTACTGATGGTGGTTATACGATCCTTCTGTTCACACTACAACTATTCTAAGACTAAGCTTGTAAGAGCATGCATCCTTAACTTCAAAAAGGGCTTTAATACAGCTGAAGTATAAATATATCTCCTCCTGGTGAAACCTGCGTCTATACATTCAGTCTTGCCTTCAATAAACAAACAAACAAACCTGGTAATCGACTGTTGTTTGCTCCCATGGTCTTATAAAAAAAAATTTTAATCAATTTTCTTTTGAAGAGTGTAATACTATTTGTTGCATGCAATGACCTGCTCAGTGCTGTTGCTAGTTGCCACATTTCATCGTTTACTCGCTAAATCCTGGTTCTCAAATGTCACCGGGAAGTGGGAACTCCGGTAGTCGATGCTATATGGCTATTATATAATAACTGAACAGCGCACATTTTCTTCCGACTATGAAACAAAACAGGTTCAGTGTACGTAGCAAATACATTATTTTTTGCAGGGCACTAGCGGAACTAATGTAGTAATGAAGAAATAAAGCCTGGTTTTCATATGTCGTGATTCATCGCTGATGTTCCACGTGATCTATTTCTATATACAGGGTGAGTAAAAAAAACTGACACCTTTGAAATTCAAATTAGCTGCGAACTTATGGCTGGAATATGACAATAACAATTCCCATGTACAATCAACAAAAACGATTTGATAAAACTGTTCTTTTGTATTTACAGAGCTTAGAATGCATTTTAAATCCCAATGGGAACAAACTTTATGCTTTAGGTCAATTAATATGATATGCTTCGTATACCAATGAAATATTTTAAGCAACTTCTGCCACATTACAGCGGCTATGCGGCTAATTTGAATTTCAAAGGTGTCAGTTTTTTTTCACCCACCCTGTATATATCGATATATGGATTTTAGGCATCAACGCAATCCCAGGGGAAGCCAAAAGAGAAAGCCAGCGCAACCCCAAGGGAAGCCCAAAGAAAGCTAGAAAGGCCTGTGGAGGAGGTTAGACAAGGAGGAGCCTTGTGCACCCCCCCCCTAACTATCGTGCTTCCTACGCCACTGTTACAAATCTCACTACAGAGTTTTTTTGTATACAAATTCAGCCAGCGACACGTTCCGCGGACTTCCGCCGCGAGTTCTGTACTGTATATCCTTTTAAACACATGTGACCACTATATCATACGGTAAGGAGTCATAACTGACCAAGCATTGCATGAACAACTTTTTACTACTTTCATAAAAACACAACAACTGTGGTTCCGAAAAAAGACAAATTCATATATGAGTCTATTTACGTAAATTAAATTTAGCACAGCAAACATGCAGTTAGCAATCTAATAAATGTATGTCAACTATTCTAATATCCGTTTATCTACTGACCTTGACTATGGCAATTCACGTGGTCTATGCTTAGAATATTAACTGAAAAAATAAACTAAATCTATTAAATTCTAGCATTCAGTACTTACATCTTTAATATTGACTGGCGTCGTCTTGAGGCGGAAGGCACTAGATAGGATCGACTGAAACCTAGAGCCCGCAATAAGTCAATATTTCATAATTATATGCATTCAAATCGGAAGACAGAGGAGGTTGACAAGCAATTAGCAAGTTGTCACGTGAGCTCTCGACCAATGAGATCGCTCTATTTTCTCATCGCGTTTCAGAAAAATTTTGGCTAAAATTTTTGCATTCGTCGCGAAATAAATAGAGAAAATTATAAATATTTAAATTTTCGAGTAAATTTTCAAGTGCACTTACAGAAGCACTTATTAAATATATTCATACCCCAATTCAATCTAAACTTAATCGAACAGCATGAAAAGAACGGTTTATTTGTTCCTCTTGGAGGAATTGCCGTATCATGCGAGCGAAATCGAATCGCGCATCGGAAAACTAACCAGAGCTGTGCACCACAACTCTTGGGAGACAAGACTGAGTAATCATATCTTATAGACCACTCTGCATGCCCTGGTTAAATACTGAGTGATGATTACTAGCATCAAATGTGGTATATAAGTAATATAACAACTGCCTAAAATAGACGTCTATTTACCACATTTGATGCTAAGTTGTTCGAAGACGCTGCCACGCTTCCTGCTTATATTGGATTACTAGACATGTATAATTTTTAGGTCTTTCATGCTGTGTATTTTTACTGATAGCTGCATGATTTGTGTTACCAATCTCAATGGTTGTAATTGGTAAGTTCAGTTTTTTGCTATAGACATGGTGTCACAAAATAATTATGCTGCTGAGCTTCACAAAATAGTAAATCTTACAAAACTTAGATAAGCCAGGAGCCCAGGATGTGGAACCTGAGTTGGTCTTCATTGAAATGCTACAGAAACTGGGGTACTTGAGCACAAGATTCCAATCTGGTTGATTGTATCTGGTGTTGTAGCCTTGTCCAAGGAATATTTGCACCAGCTTTTCGTAGGAATGGAAAATCAGAACGAAATTCCGGTCAAGGTGTTTTTCAGGCAGTTGGTCTTATCATCAATATTTTTCAAATTGTTTGGCTAATTATTGGAAGTGTCTGGATTTATGGTAACTACAAACCAGATTTTAACAAATCTGATGACCAATTTTTTTGCCACGAAACAGTGTATTTGTTTAGTTTTTGGATTCTGAATGTCACCTACATTGGTTTGTCTATCACCTTGTTTATCTCCATTGGATTGTTCCTGTACAATAGAGGTCTCACTGGAGACACTCGAACACAGTAACTTTGTAAGAACATATTTATATTTTTTTCTGTATATGTATTTCTTTAATTTCTTTATCTTACTGTAAAATATCCAACTCCTCAAGACTTAGATGAGGGAGAGGGACTATATGGTAGATTATTTTAACAATGGGTATCAAAGCAATAGGTCTCGGACACAAGCTTTGCACTGTAATTATTGTCTTTACTACAGTTTGCAACTAAGTTGTAACAGATTTAGCTCTTTCCATATGGCCTAACAACCCGAAATAGCAAGGCAGGGTCAACCTCTGCGGTTGTGTCTGGAGGGGGCGGAATAGGTTTGTTCCAAACCTTCAATTTCATATTTCCAGCTCCATCACTGCTCAGGTACAACTTATCTGTTCCTTGTTTTTTATTGGATTGAAGTACACAAAAAGCACTGTTTGGTTTGAACAATTGCATAACTTCAAATGATGTTGCATCATTAGCCTTTACACAAAAAATAAAAAAAATTTATTCATCAAAGTAGAACATGTGCCTTGCTTGGTGCCTTGCCTGGGTTAGGTACGACCAAGTTGATTAGAGTAACTAAAAGATTTAAGTCTGGCTAGATAAAAGAAAGTGTAATGAACAAATTTTCACACTCTTCAATATTGCGCAGTATTATATTTAATAGTCAAGGTAACAAGACAATATGAATGCTTTATTACCATTCATCTAAATTGGTGGGAATTACCTGACAAATACCATCTCACCTACTTAAAATCATCCAAAAATATAGTTACAGTAAAGGACCCAAAGTTCAAATCACTTGTTGGACATTTCGTGGGTGTTTATTTAGCTTCAACAACCCCTATCACTGTCAATTTTCCTCCCCATATAAATAATCTGAAGTTGTATTTAAATGTTAAAGCCAGCAAAGCTACACAAGTCTTATTAAAATCTTAAACAATTACGGAATAAAATTTGAAGGCACACAAGACTTAAAAGATACCATTTCTGATGATCTTAAGACTTGACCAATGAATCATTCAAAAAAATTGACACCAACTATGATAGCCAAAGTTGGATAGTAGCCTTTGCGTATAGACTGACAAGTTCAGAGTATTTTTCGCCAACTTGCAGCAGTTGCAAAAAATGAACATTAACGACGTGTGGTAATCATATTGGTAATCATGGATTCATGGTGGTAATACAGCCTTCCGGTAATTACGTCACAACTTTCCCGTTTCCAGTTTTGAACCACTTTGAATGAAACAGATTTCAAGTTTTACTCTCACGAGCTATGTGCAAAGGTGTAAAACATCCTTCTTCCACACTTGCGTCAGAAAGAATTTTTCATTTTGAACAATAAAGAATGTGGAAATAAGCAATAACACGAGAATGAGGCTCAGGGGCCAAAACAGGGGTCAAAATGAAAAATTCTTTCTGACGCATGTGTTGAAGAAGGATGTTTTACATCTTTGCACATAGCTCGTGAGAGTAAAACTTGAAATCTGTTTCATTTAAGGTGGTTCTAAACTAAAGCTGGAGATGGTAAAGTTGTGACGTAATTACCGGAAGGCTGTATTACTCCAATACCCCATTGTCTAAAATGCAGTTCGCAGTTTGCGCTAACCGGAACATATGTGGTATGTTTGAATATATGTCGAAAACAAATAATATAAAACCAGATTGTATAGATCTAGATAACCACAACATTCTGACTTACCCCATCAACTGCGACCACATTACTTTCTGAAGCAGCGAGGTAGTATTTCTTATTATTTTTATTGAATTGCAGTTGAAACAGTTGCTGATCCGGTTTTCGTTGTACTTCGTGGAACGTGATGTCGGTTAAAGCTAGCGAAGTGTAAAAATAATGATTGAATCATTGTGTGATTATGATGATGATGATCACCATAACGACGATCAGGATGATGATTATGATGAAGATGATCACGATGATGATTATGATGATGATGATTCTGAGAGTAAGAATTCGTGGACGAGAATGAGTATAATGACAATCTCCCTTGGAATATGCATTATTGCACAAAATTTATCATCCACACAGAACACTGGGTCTCCAATTTCAGGCCACCTTGCCAATATAATAAATGTAAAGTTACGAATTTGCCATTACAAAAAGACTGAAGGAAATTCTGAACTAACGGCAAAAAATGTAAGG